TTCTAGTAGGGACTGAGCCCCACACAATCCTGAAGAATAGAGAATTTTATTTCGAATTTTAAGTAGTAGCAGGTCCACCCGTACGCCATCAGACAATCATAACTAATTTGGTAAAAACGAAAATAAAAATTTATTTCTTCCAAATTTAACAATTCTAATCATCTGAAAATAACCAGAGTTCTAGTAGGGACTGAGCCCCACACAATCCTGAAGAATAGAGAATTTTATTTCGAATTTTAAGTAGTAGCAGGTCCACCCGTACGCCATCAGACAATCATAACTAATTTGGTAATAACGAAAATAAAAATTTATTTATTACAAGTTTGAGAATTCTAATCATCTGAAAATAACCAGAGTTCTAGTAGGGACTGAGCCCCACACAATCCTGAAGAATAGAGAATTTTATTTCGAATTTTAAGTAGTAGCACCATCACCCGAATGCCATCAGACAATCATAACTAATTTGGTAAAAACGAAAATAAAAATTTATTTATTACAAGTTTGAGAATTCTAATCATCTGAAAATAACCAGAGTTCTAGTAGGGACTGAGCCCCACACAATCCTGAAGAATAGAGAATTTTATTTCGAATTTTAAGTAGTAGCACCATCACCCGAATGCCATCAGACAATCATAATTAATTTGGTAAAAACGAAAATAAAAATTTATTTATTACAAGTTTGAGAATTCTAATCATCTGAAAATAACTAGAGTTCTAGTAGGGACTGAGCCCCACACAATCCTGAAGAATAGAGAATTTTATTTCGAATTTTAAGTAGTAGCACCATCACCCGAATGCCATCAGACAATCATAACTAATTTGGTAAAAACGAAAATAAAAATTTATTTCTTCCAAATTTAACAATTCTAATCATCTACAAATAACCAGAGTTCTAGTAGGGACTGAGCCCCACACAATCCTGAAGAATAGAGAATTTTATTTCGAATTTTAAGTAGTAGCAGGTCCACCCGTACGCCATCAGACAATCATAACTAATTTGGTAAAAACGAAAATAAAAATTTATTTATTACAAGTTTGAGAATTCTAATCATCTGAAAATAACCAGAGTTCTAGTAGGGACTGAGCCCCACACAATCCTGAAGAATAGAGAATTTTATTTCGAATTTTAAGTAGTAGCAGGTCCACCCGAATGCCATCAGACAATCATAACTAATTTGGTAAAAACGAAAATAAAAATTTATTTCTTCCAAATTTAACAATTCTAATCATCTACAAATAACCAGAGTTCTAGTAGGGACTGAGCCCCACACAATTCTTAAGAATAGAGAATTTTATTTCGAATTTTAAGTAGTAGCACCATCACCCGAATGCCATCAGACAATCATAACTAATTTGGTAAAAACGAAAATAAAAATTTATTTCTTCCAAATTTAACAATTCTAATCATCTACAAATAACCAGAGTTCTAGTAGGGACTGAGCCCCACACAATCCTGAAGAATAGAGAATTTTATTTCGAATTTTAAGTAGTAGCAGGTCCACCCGTACGCCATCAGACAATCATAACTAATTTGGTAATAACGAAAATAAAAATTTATTTATTACAAGTTTGAGAATTCTAATCATCTGAAAATAACCAGAGTTCTAGTAGGGACTGAGCCCCACACAATCCTGAAGAATAGAGAATTTTATTTCGAATTTTAAGTAGTAGCAGGTCCACCCGTACGCCATCAGACAATCATAACTAATTTGGTAAAAACGAAAATAAAAATTTATTTATTACAAGTTTAAGAATTCTAATCATCTGAAAATAACCAGAGTTCTAGTAGGGACTGAGCCCCACAAAATCCTGAAGAATAGAGAATTTTATTTCGAATTTTAAGTAGTAGCACCATCACCCGAATGCCATCAGACAATCATAATTAATTTGGTAAAAACGAAAATAAAAATTTATTTCTTCCAAATTTAACAATTCTAATCATCTACAAATAACCAGAGTTCTAGTAGGGACTGAGCCCCACACAATTCTTAAGAATAGAGAATTTTATTTCGAATTTTAAGTAGTAGCAGGTCCACCCGTACGCCATCAGACAATCATAACTAATTTGGTAATAACGAAAATAAAAATTTATTTATTACAAGTTTGAGAATTCTAATCATCTGAAAATAACCAGAGTTCTAGTAGGGACTGAGCCCCACACAATCCTGAAGAATAGAGAATTTTATTTCGAATTTTAAGTAGTAGCAGGTCCACCCGTACGCCATCAGACAATCATAACTAATTTGGTAAAAACGAAAATAAAAATTTATTTTTTTTAAATTTAACAATTCTAATCATCTGAAAATAACCAGAGTTCTAGTAGGGACTGAGCCCCACACAATCCTGAAGAATAGAGAATTTTATTTCGAATTTTAAGTAGTAGCAGGTCCACCCGTACGCCATCAGACAATCATAACTAATTTGGTAAAAACGAAAATAAAAATTTATTTATTACAAGTTTAACAATTCTAATCATCTACAAATAACCAGAGTTCTAGTAGGGACTGAGCCCCACACAATCCTGAAGAATAGAGAATTTTATTTCGAATTTTAAGTAGTAGCAGGTCCACCCGTACGCCATCAGACAATCATAACTAATTTGGTAAAAACGAAAATAAAAATTTATTTCTTCCAAATTTAACAATTCTAATCATCTGAAAATAACCAGAGTTCTAGTAGGGACTGAGCCCCACACAATCCTGAAGAATAGAGAATTTTATTTCGAATTTTAAGTAGTAGCAGGTCCACCCGTACGCCATCAGACAATCATAACTAATTTGGTAAAAACGAAAATAAAAATTTATTTATTACAAGTTTAAGAATTCTAATCATCTGAAAATAACCAGAGTTCTAGTAGGGACTGAGCCCCACAAAATCCTGAAGAATAGAGAATTTTATTTCGAATTTTAAGTAGTAGCACCATCACCCGAATGCCATCAGACAATCATAATTAATTTGGTAAAAACGAAAATAAAAATTTATTTCTTCCAAATTTAACAATTCTAATCATCTACAAATAACCAGAGTTCTAGTAGGGACTGAGCCCCACACAATTCTTAAGAATAGAGAATTTTATTTCGAATTTTAAGTAGTAGCAGGTCCACCCGTACGCCATCAGACAATCATAACTAATTTGGTAATAACGAAAATAAAAATTTATTTATTACAAGTTTGAGAATTCTAATCATCTGAAAATAACCAGAGTTCTAGTAGGGACTGAGCCCCACACAATCCTGAAGAATAGAGAATTTTATTTCGAATTTTAAGTAGTAGCAGGTCCACCCGTACGCCATCAGACAATCATAACTAATTTGGTAAAAACGAAAATAAAAATTTATTTTTTTTAAATTTAACAATTCTAATCATCTGAAAATAACCAGAGTTCTAGTAGGGACTGAGCCCCACACAATCCTGAAGAATAGAGAATTTTATTTCGAATTTTAAGTAGTAGCAGGTCCACCCGTACGCCATCAGACAATCATAACTAATTTGGTAAAAACGAAAATAAAAATTTATTTATTACAAGTTTAACAATTCTAATCATCTACAAATAACCAGAGTTCTAGTAGGGACTGAGCCCCACACAATCCTGAAGAATAGAGAATTTTATTTCGAATTTTAAGTAGTAGCACCATCACCCGAATGCCATCAGACAATCAAAATTTGGTAAAAAGGAAAATAAAAATTTATTTCTTCCAAATTTAATAATTTGAATCATCTGGAAATTACCTAAGTTTTAGTAGGGACTAAGCCCTATACAATTCTGAAGAATAGAGAATTCTTTACGAGATTTTTGTTAAATTTTTTAAAAATAATTTAGTTTCGGCGAAAAATTTTATTACTTTGGAAAATAATTGAATTCAAGTGATGAATATTTTTATTTTTAATAATAATTGAATTTGGCAAAGAAGTTAATTAAAATTTTTTGCTAATAATTGTATTTGTTGTGAGAATTTTGTTATTTATCAAGAAATAGTATATTACGATACTAGGCCAGAAAGTTGGATTTCCTGGCCGGCGTGATATATAAGGCCGAGGCTTTATATATCACGCTCGCTAGGGTATCCAAATTTCTGGCCGTGTGTCGTATACAATTTTTCTGTATCCCCAGCCGAAAGTACGTTAAATAATTATTGTTTGAATAATAAAATAGCTCAATAAGTTGCCCGCCCGACTTTTGCAAAGTCGAGGCGAAGCCGAGACTTAGCTGGTCGGGGCGGGCATGAAAAAAAAATTATAAGTAAAAAATAATTGGAAGTGAAATTTAAAAAATAGTAAACAAGAAATTTTCTTTTACAAATATATATTGAATAATTAAAAAATAATAAAAGAAAATAAGAAATTTCATGCATTATTTTGATGACTGTCAGTTGTTTTCAAAACGTGAGCTCTGTAAGTAACGTTTCTGTGTGGTTGCTATGCTAACATGTACGTGTGTTGAAATTCTTGTAACCAATCAGAGCGCTCGTTGGGTCTGTCGGGCCGGCCACAAAAGTCGCTATTCGCGGAGCCAAATCAGACCGGGAAGACAGTACTTTCGGCAAAGGGATACAGAAAATTAAATTTTTTCGAAAGAATCACGTAAAACTATTATAAGATGGTAAGGTGTCAATTTAGCGGATATATATTTGTTTCGCTTATCATCGATAAGACAGAAATCAATATTTCAAAATTAAAACTTCATTAATATTTGAAAATATATATATATATATATATATATATATTTTTTTTTTTTTTTTTTTTTTTTTTTTTAATATATTTTCAAATATTAATGAAGTATTAATTTTGAAATATTGATTTCTGTCTTATCGATGATAAGCGAAATAAATATATATCCGCTAAATTGACACCTTACCATCTTATAATAATTATTATCACGGAAAAAACCCATTTACCATCTTATGAATCACGTAAAACTTTTGATAAAAATTAAATATTACAAATTATTTATAATGTTATTATTATTTTGTAATGCGAAGAACTATAATAATTTGAATTAATTAAATATTACCTTCAAGATCATAGTAATCTGGAATGCGAACGTCAAAATGTTCCTGAACAACTCTCATAGCGCAATTATCTCTGTCTAATCTTAATATACTGCTAATCAATTTATTCATTTCATTTTCCGTTTCATGCCACATTGTTGCACAGACTTTTATAAACGTGAGGCTTTCGTCGACTTTAACATCATTGTCCTGAAATTAAAAAAGTAATAATAATAATAATATCATAATTAATAATTAACTTTTTAAACCTATTAATTCTTTCTTTAAAAATAACGAAGTTAAAATTCACAAAGTTGCCCAAAGAGAAAAAACCATACTTTTTTCGAACCTACTAAAAAATTTTTTTGTCGTTTCAATTTCTCAAAATTACATTCGAAAAATTGAATCGACTTGGATATCCCCTTAAATAATAATGGAAATTATATTTTAAACACAAAAAAATTTTTAATTAAATGCACGCACCTTCTTTAGTGGAACTCCGGTATATTTAAGTTTTCTCTCTCGTCTTCGATTTAGGGATAAGCATTGATCGATAATGAGAGAATCATAAGTTAAAATAACAAAAATATGTTCTGCTTTTGCTAATCTTTCACAATTAGATGTCCACGTGTGAAACGTAATCCACACTTGTGAAATCCACAAGAAAATCGATAGCCAAAGGTACCATTCCGAAACGATCATTTCAAATGATTCTAAATAAGGAACATCGAAAAATAGATAATCGGGAATAAATCCATGGAAAGCGCATGTATTTTTCTCCCTTGAAATATAACCGAAAAGTAGAATAATATTAATAGTCGGTGTTGATAGTACAAGTGGTAATGCAAATCCAAATTTGTGCATTAAAGTTTTACACGCAAATTTGCCTGAAATGAAATGAAATATTGCAGACATGTTAATTTTATTCTTTAAGTTATTTCCTTGACATTTTGCTAATTGTTTTTACGAAAATAACTATGGTTGGTTTTTGTTTCTTTTTATATAAATATAGAAAGTAGTTAAAAACAAAAAAAATACTCTTGGTCTTTGAAAACTGAGTAAATAAAAAAATAAATACTAAATAGAAAGAAAAATTAAGTTTTACCAAATGCATAAGCGAAGACACTGCTGAAGGCATGTATGATTAGAAAATTAAATTGTACGGAGGAGCTTTTATTCAGCGATATTACTGTTGTTCCTGCAGAATTTGTAACTGGAATACTGTACTCCTTTACCAAAAAACCGTTAAAAAATTGAGTTAAATCGTAATTCTTAAAGTAGGCAATTAAGAGAGCACTCATTATGAAAACAATTATCCTAACAATCGCTGTGACACCTTGCAGGCAAAATCGTGTTGGCTCCAAGTCATTTTTTATCTTACTCAACCAAGATTCTATAGAAAAAAGAAAGAAATTAGATTTCATTATTTTAATTAATCTTCATTTTTTAATTTTTAATTTCATCCATTTTAAATTACTCTATTTATGGCCGTTATTTCTCTCTAAATTAATTCTTATTATTATTTGCTTATTTTTTGCTAATTACGTTTTATTGTCATTGCTTCGTTTTTTTATTTTTTCAATTTAAGCATTATTCCAGTACTTTTGTACGAAAGGGTATTTTACCCGTATACATATGAAATAAATAAATAAATTTATTATTGAAGAAAATTTATGAAAAAGAAAAAAAAAGGAAAAAATCAAATACCTGACTTTCCTTCGGAGGAAACATAATTTGGCCACCAACGAAGTGAAGATAAAATCAAAGCTACTGGAAGAATGTACATTGATTCAGATCTGTCTCTATGTTGAAAAAAAATGCTTGCTAATAATCCTGTAATTTGTAAAGCAAATGCAAAGCCATCTGCCAAAACAGGAAGAAGATTTTTTAACTGTCGACTATAATAATATTTGGTACCAGTTCCAATGAAAGCTGCAAAATGGGCAAAAATGTAGATTTATAATTACTTTTTCAAATTTTACCAAAAATGAAGAAAGGTATTGAGAGAATAAAGAATAAAAAATAATTACCAAGTAAACTGGGTACGAAACAGATGCAACTCATAATAGAAGCAGCTTGAAGAACATTGAGATTTGGCAGACAAACTAAAAATAATAAAGCCATTCCCACGCTGTGTAAAATTTCAATAAAAATTGAAAATACAAAATTTACGAATGAAGGGAATTCATCCATTTTAATATTCTTGAATATACAAGCTTTGATTGCGCTAATTATTCCTAAGACTTCCGGTATGATGAAAGCCATTATTATACACCACATCCACGCGATACGTCCACTTTGTGGTAAATTTGCTAAAAGTTTCTCATCCGACGATTTGTTCTCATCTAAAATAATATTTTTCATATTTAAATAGATTATTATTATTTAACAGAAATTTAATTTACAATAAATTTATGGTCTCGATCAAAGAACTGGTTGTAATTTTTTAATTGTACTAGATTCTCGACCTCTAAATAAAAAAGAAATTTTGAATTTCAATTCGCTTCCACGTGAATGTTTCTCTACAAATTATGATTAAAAATTTTTTTAATTCTGATTTACAGAACAAAGAATTTTAGCTGAAAAAAATTATTCACTTGAAAATTATTTTCTTGAAAAAAAAAATGAAGAGAAAAATTAATTAATTGTAAATAAACCACACGTGAAACTGAATTATTTAATTAGATATTCAGAAGAATTACCTGAGTTGCAAAAATGAACGGATTCTAAATTAATATTCGTAGTAGCGAAAAGAATGGTAAACTTTGAAATCACACTGAAGGAGAGAATTGCTGAGAAGATAATTAAATAAACAAACACTTTTAGACACTTTATGAAAAATTCGTAGCCCTTATGCTCGACTGTTGAACCACTTTTTGGTCGGGGAGGAAATTGTTTGAATACATCCCATAAATGCATTTCTGTCTCGTGTCTTAAAGAGAAAATTTCAATTATTTACAAGAAAACATTTTACTTACATTATTTATATTATTTATCTTTGAAAAAAATATTTTCTATATAAAAAAAAATATCTAAAAAAGTAAATTTTGAATTTTAAATTGTAAAAGAATTAAATGTCTAATTTTTAATTTTTAATTTACTATTTTAACGTTTTTAAACGCAGTAAATAATTTGATTTTGATCAATTGAAAAATACAACGCAATTTGGAAAATATAGTTTTTTTTTATTATATTCAAATAAGAATTTTACCTTTCATTATGATTTTCTTTAAAATTAACATTTTTATTGTTGTTAATTGATTTTTTATAATCACCCAAAGTTTGGACACGAGGATCAGTTTTTTGGAAAATTTCTCTTAAAGAATTTGACATGCTTTACAGTATATTGAATAACGCAGTTTTGTTTTCTAGGTATTTTTGAATGTGGACAATATTTATTATCAATATTAATCTTATCGAATTGTAATTGATAAGACGCACGAAAATTTCGTTTGCGCGCCCAATTAATAATAATTTATCAGTTTCTAAATTTTTCTCAGAATTTGAAAAAAAGTAATCTCTACCTCTCATTCTTTAAGTATTGAAAAGATAATACTGTTTTTAACAATAATTTTATTATATTAAAATATTAATATTATTAATATTATCATTGAATCTTGTCGTAAATCAGTAGATAATCGATTTTTGAGTATTTTTAAGTAGTTTAACAATGTTGCAGAAATATTAATTGTTAATTGACAATAATTTTATTATTATTTATTATTTTCGGAAAATTTAGTAAAATGAATTCTTCGAAACAATTCAATTACTTTCAAAAATATCAAAATTCTTCGCAAGGATTCAATTATTTTCAAAAATAATAAAATTTTTCGCAGGAATATAGTTACTTGAAAATTTTAATTAAATTCGCTCGAAAGAATTTAATTATTTTATAAATTGTAATAATTATTATTATGTTCGAATTAATTCAATTACTTTGAAATATTTTAGCACTCTTCGTCAAAATAATTTAATTATTTTCAACAATTTTTATAAAGTTTGTTTATAAGAATTCAATTCTTTCAAAAATGTTTATAATATTTGCAAGAATATAATTGTTTTTAAATTATAAAATTCTCTGTAGAAATTGAATGATTTTCATTAGAATTTAACAAAATTCTTTGAATAAATTCAATTATTTTCCACAAATGTTATCAAATTTGTATACAGAAAATTCAAAAATTTTTTTGAATAATAAAATGCATCGCAGAAATTCCATTATTTTCAAAAACGTTAATTAAATTCTTTCCAAGAATTCAATAATTTTTTTGAATAATAAAATTAATAGCGGAAATTTCATTATTTTCAAAAATATTAATAAAATTCTTTGCAAAAATTCAATTAATTTTGTAAATAATAAAATTCTTCCCAGAAATTCAATAATTCTCAAAAATATTAATAAAATTATTTTCAATACATTTTAAAATAAATTTCGCCAAAGAAATTAATTGCTTTGAAAAATTTGAATAAAATTGGTCGAAACAATTCAATTATCTACAAAAATTTGAAGATAATAAAATTCCATAGAAGAATTAAATTATTTCAGATTAAAAATTATGAAAGTTACAAAATTTATAACTTTTTTATGTTATCGATATAAATTATTTTTATTATTATTACTATCTATTATTTAATTATAGTTTGTTGCAGAAAATTAAATTTAAAAATTAGAATTTTTTACTTTATATTATACAGTTATATTTACAATGTAATATTTCGTTCATATACATTTTTTAATCTCAGAGTAGAAAATATATGAATTTTAATATTTTCCAAAGAAAATGTAAATATCACGCAAGAATATTTCCATTTCTTGTTAAAGTTTCATGATCGATAAGGCCCAATGAGGACAGGCATACTAAAGCTGCTCCTTGTTCAGCAAATTTTTTATTCTTTTCCCTGTGAAAAATATGGAATTTTTTTTAATTTTCAGGTACAATTAATAGAATTAATAATAAATTATAATTAATAGAAACAGAAGTACTGATATTAATGGAAATTTAAATTTTTTAAATATGTTATGATAAAATTATGTTCTTACCAAAAAGATGATCCATATTTTCTGCCATCAACAGTGACGATGGAACGGAAAAGTTTATCTGCATGTTGCGTTTCATAGGCTGGCATTTTCTTCCTATTTTCCTTCACCCATTTTAATAACTTTGTCTTCGGCAGGTCTATATCGTTGGAATAATTGTTTCTTATAAATGCACACTGCAGTAAAGTTACATCATCTTCAAATTTCCTTTTATATAAACCATTAGAGTTTGTCTTTATTGCAATAGATTCGGGGACGACTTGAAATCGTCCCATTAATCCTTTTTCTCGGTATTCTTTCGACTTTTGTCTACAGTAGTCATCCATATCCCATACTCCACTGAAAAAAAGAAAAGTACTTGTTAGATTTTATTCTAATTTATTTATAATATTACAGGGTTGCCACACAACCTGAAAAACCTGGAAATGTCAGGGAATTTTATAAACCTTGAAAAAAACTTGTAAAAGTCAGGGAATTTTGATCGAAATCCTGAAAAATTGTTGTTTTCTAAAGTTATTGTGTTTATTTTTGAAATCTAATTTTACCTAAATATTTCAAAATTAATTCAATTTTAAAAGAGTTGCGTTTACAATTTTCATAAGTAGATGAACTTCAAAAGATTTTAATTGGAAATTTTGTAAAATTTAAATTTTAAATGAATTTAATTAGAAATTTTAAAAAATATAGATTTTAAAAAAATTATAACTAAAATTCTTCTGAAATTAGTTAAATTCTTTAAATATATTATTTAATTGATCATTAAAAATAATGGATTTATAGAAGAATTTTAGTTAAAACACTAAAACAAATTTAATTTTGAAGCAATTACAAAAAATGATTGCTGAAGTTCAATTATTTTAAAAAATTTTAATCTACAACTTTTCTCAATCAATGATTTTTAATATCTACTTCTCTAATAAAAATTCCCAAAAGAATTCAATTAGTTAACAAAAATTTTAATAAAATTCTATGCAAACATTTCATTATTTTCATAAATAATAAAAATTTTGCAGGAATTCAATTATTTAAAAATTATTTTCATAAATAAAAATTTCAATAAAATTTCACAAAAGAATTCAATTATTTAAAAATAAATTTTAATGAAATTCGTCTCAAGAATTCAATTATCTTCAAAAGTAATATAATTCTTCGCAGAAATACAATTATGTTCAAAAATTTCTCCAAAATTCAATTATTTTCAAAAATTTTAATAAAATTTTTGGCAAAATTTCTATTATTTTTAATACAATTTTCTTCAAAATTCTCGAAAAATGAAATTATTCTTCAAAATTTTATTAAAATTTGTCAACAGAATTCAATTATTTAAAAAATTTGTTGATTAAATTCTTTATGAAAATTTAATTTTAAGAAAAACATTCAAGTATTCAATAAAATATTTATTTTCGTTGTTAAATAATTGAATTCTCGTAGAATTTTCCAATAAAAATTGATATAAAAATTAATTTCAGTTAAAATTTTAGATTATAATTCAATATTGAAAGTGAAATAGCGTAGATTTTTAGAAATAATTGGATTTTCAAAAGGTTTCAAATTAAAATCTTTAAAAAATTTGAACTTTTCATACTTTTAATTAAGAATTCTGTAAAATTAATGTTTTTCAAAAAATTTAATGGAATTTTTTTGAATTATTTCAAGTTTTTAATTTCTAACATATTTAATTGAAGAATGTCAGAATAATCGAAATTTCGTAAAATTAAATTGTAAACAAAAGAGTTTGAAAATTCTCAAAGAACTTTTTCAAAAATTATTAAAAAAATATTGACTTAAAGAAGAATTTTAAATTGAAAATTCTGGAAATGAATAATCGAAATGATGAAAATAATTTAATTATTTTCAACAATTTTTATAAAGTTTGTTTATAAGAATTCAATTCTTTCAAAAATGTTTATAATATTTGCAAGAATATAATAGTTTTTAAATTATAAAATTCTCTGTAGAAATTGAATGATTTTCATTAGAATTTAACAAAATTCTTTGAATAAATTCAATTATTTTCCACAAATTTTATCAAATTTGTATACAGAAATAAAATTATTTGCAAAAATTCAATTATTTTCAAAAATATTTTAATAAAACTTCTCGAAATAATTGAATTATTTTTAAAAATTAATAAAATTCCATTATTTTCAAAAATTGTAATAAAATTCTTTCCAGGAATTCAATAACTTTTTGAATAATAAAATTCGTCGCAGAAATTCTATTATTTTCAAAAACGTTAATAAAATTCTTTCTAAAAATTCAATAATTTTTTTGAATAATAAAATGCATCGCAGAAATTCCATTATTTTCAAAAACGTTAATTAAATTCTTTCCAAGAATTCAATAATTTTTTTGAATAATAAAATTAATAGCATAAATTGCATTATTTTCAAAAATATTAATAAAATTCTTTGCAAACATTAAATTATTTTTTAAATAACAAAATTCTTCCCAGAATGTCAGAATAATCGAAATTTCGTAAAATTAAATTGTAAACAAAAGGGTTTGAAAATTCTAAAAGAACTTTTTCAAAAATTATTTAAAAAAATATTGACTTAAAGAAAAATTTTAGTTAAAAATTCTGGAAATGAATAATCGAAATGATGAAAATAATTTTTGAAGAAGTTACAGTAACAAAGTAGCAAATTTTTGAAAATCTTAATTTCTATTAAAAAAATTATTAAATATTTCTTTAAAAATAAAGTTATTGATGTTTTCGAATAATTTTCTTTTTAAGAACCTGAAAAAATTCCGTTTTTTAACCAGGAAAACTTGGAAAAGTCAGGAAATTTGTAAAGAGCAAAAGTGTTGCAACCCTGAATATAAAGTAATCAAATCAATTTAATTACCAAATTTGCTCGAGAGTTTGAGTCTCCAAAAACTTTTTCCCAAGCGGCGACTCTTGAAGATCTCGAAGAATATTTTGAATGCAATATTTTGTATTAGTCGGTGCATTATCATAATCGACAGCAAGTTTCAAATAAGTTGTGATTATTTCCTCCATTGGCAGTAAACCATCTTTTCTAAATATTGAACAATTCCATTCGCCGGCTCTGGCAATCATAACACTGCTGCAACCAGTTTCTTCCTTAAATTTAAATATATCAGATCTTTTTTCAATATCTCTTGAACCACCGTTTGCAATTACTGGAATTGAGAGATGTTGAGCGATTTTTTGCAAAATATTATTTCGATTTGGATGTTGAGGTCTCTCGTCTCTTGTTCGTCCATGAACGGTGATTGCCGATATTCCAGTTGATGCAAGAATATCACAAAGTTCGAGGGTTTTTTCTAATGTCGGCAAAACACGTATTTTACAAGTCACCGGAATTTTGAGACCAGTGACTAAAGTTTCAAGTATTTCTTTTGCCTTGTCGGGCTTTTCTAGAAGAGCAGCGCCCATTCCTCCCAAAATTGAGAATCTTTTTGGACAGCCCATGTTGACGTCAATTCCCGCAATGTCATTTTCGACCATTTGTCCAACTTTTAATGCTCGACTTGCGTCACATGTTCCAATTTGAAGAACAACGTGTTTCTTTTCACGGGGACTTGTGCGAAAAACGACAGTTCCATCTGTTTTGTCAATAAAATCCACAGTGCCCAGAACATCTAGGAGAAAATAGAAAAAAATCAGTATTAAATTTACATAAAAAAGTGAGAATACTTCTTCTAATTCAGGGTTGCCACAAAAATTTAATTTCGTTTTTCCCTGATTTCCAGACAATATTTTAACTTTTTTCCTGACCAGAAAAGAATTTTCTGATTCACTCTAAAAATTATTAGATGCTGACGATTTCTTCATGTTTTTTTTAATTCTACGCAGAATTGTTAGTTAAAAGTACGAAAAATTCTGATTTTCAAAGATTTGAATTCGAAACTATTTCAAAATTCAATTATTTCTTAATACTTCCCCACTAATGCTTTTAATATTTAATTATTATCTAAATTTTTAACTGAAATTATTCATTTTTATATCAATTTTTATTAGAAAATTCTATGAGAATTCAATTATTTAAATAAAAAGTGAAGAATTAATTATTTTTACAAATACAATTCTTTATTACAATTCTATCAAAATTTTAGAAAATAATTGGATTTTTTTCTAAAAATTTCAATAAAATTTTTAAGAATAATAGTACTTTTATTAAAAATGAAAATAATTGAATTCTTTACAAGAATTTGGTTTAAATTTTTTCAAATAATTGAATTCATGTGACAACATTTATTTGCGGAAATAATTGAATTCTTGTGAAAAATTTTTTTACAATTTTTGAAAATAATTGTATTTTTTTACGAGTAATCTACATAATTACAATTGTATTGAAAATAATTAAATTCTTTAAACAAATTTTATTAAAATTGTTAAACATAATAGTTTTCTTAAGGAGAATTTTATTAAAATTTTTGAAAATAATTCAATTCTTTCGAAGAATTTCAATAGAATCTTAAAAAATAATTAAATAATTAAAATTTTACTGAAATTTATCATATTAAAGAATTTTATAACAATTTTTGAAAATATTTGAAAACTTTTTGAAGAATTTTATTAAAATTTTTTTAAATAATTGAATTCCTGAGAAGAATTTAAATAATAATTCATGAAAATAATCGAATTTTGTAAAGAATTTTTTTTAAATTCCTAAAATTAATTGAATTTTTGTAAAGAATTTTGTTATTTATCAAGATAATTGCATTAAAACTTTTGAAATAATTAAATAATATTAAAAAATTCATTCTGGTCAGAATTGAAAAAAAATTTGAAGGTTTTGTATTAGAATTGTGGTAGTTTCATAGTTTACGAGTCAAACAAAAATGAAAAAAGACACAAAATATTCAGTGTTTTCTTATGAATTCTACAAATTTAATTTTTTCCAATGCTTTTAATAAAAGTCCCTGACTTTTCCTGAATTCCCTGACCTGTGGCAAACCTGTAATTACATAAATGTTACTGTATGGTTAGATGTTAGAAGTTTTATTTTTTTCTAGATTTTCTAAAAATATTTCAATTTTTGAGGTTAGGAAAGAATTTTTTTTCTTATTGTACAAATTCCATAAAATTTTTCAATAAAATTACGAAACTCAGTAATAGAATTAATTTAGACTCACCATTTTCTCGTCTAACTGATCGAATTAATTTCCAATCAATTAATTCTTCGGTGTAAACAATATCAGCACCGTATTCTAGAGCAAGTAGACGCATGGGAAGAGTTCCAATTCTAACCATAGGTGCTAATATCACTTTATTTTCATAATTTAATCTATCATTTGTTTCCATTTTCTACAAAGTGTCAAAATTAATTGTACTAATTATCAACAATTAACTATATTATTTGCAATAAACAAATTAAAAGAGTACTTTTTCAAACGTCAATTTTGGCACATGTGTTATCGTGTTGAGTTCAGGAGCGTATTATTAAAACTATCGCCCCTAGGGATAATTAAAATGTAATTGAAAAATTACTACGTACAAAAATTAATTAATAGGTAAGTAATAATTTACTAAAATAGGGTAAATATTTATGTATTAAATATTTAAAATTTTTTTATAAATCTTTTGATTGAAAAAAATATAAATTCGTAGTGCAACAAGTGACGCTCCTGGTCTATTTGACATTTGAATATTATAGTCTGCTAGAAAATAGAAATGAGGTTAACTTGTTTTGTAGTAGGGTAGCGCATATATTTTTTCACTCTTATCATCCTCTAATCACCAATTAATTTGTTTTTGTTTGTCATTTATTATTTGTGTGTTAAGTTTACATCAGTTTACAATCATACAGTGCATCATTAAACGTCAGTAAAAGAAAAATTTAAAGAATAATCACCAAAACAAACACAAGCACCCCTATTTTGACTTCCTGAATTGTGTTATTTTTTATTTATATATTTAACGAAAAATTTGTAAATGACACTTTCCATTTTACACAAAAATAAAAAATTGTTCGCAAATAATTTAATAGTATGAGAGAAAGGAGGAAAAAATTTAAATAAAATCTTATCTTATCTTCAATATAACATAAGGTGAGTTTATAACCTCGTATTTTGTTTTATTATTATGTAATTATAAAATATGTACGACATTATTTTACTTAAAATGCTTCAAATTTGCATTGTTGAAAATTACATTATTTACTGAAATTTAATTATTTTTGTTAATAATTATTAATTGAGTTCTTTATATGTAAATTCTTAAACAATTTTTTGATATTTTTTTTTCAAATTATATCTTTTTTTATTGTTTTAACATCGTGTACAATTTCTTTTGAAAGTGTTTTACATATTTTATGACAAAAGTTTTATAAAGTTAAAGTGTGTCTTGTACTGTTAATAATTTATTAATTGTTGGACTTAAGGTCTCGATAAAAATCATGGCCAATCCATGCAGTGTTGTTGCACATTTGGTGAAATTAATTGTCACAATAGTGTGTATGAAATTCTTCAAAGATTCATTTTTATTCAATGCAACTGATCACACTTGGGCTGTGAGGGCTCTACAAATTTTTCTTACGCACTCGGCTTTAGGAATAATTAGATTTGGTGAGTTTTTTTAAATTAAAAAATTACATAATTTCCTTATTTCATGAAAAAAAAAAAATAAAAATAATTTTATAAATTTTGTAAATTTATTTTATAAATTATTCGTAAAAATTTATTAAGCTTTTTGAATAATGAGAATAAGTTTGATATTTATTTAAACTTTTAGGGACTTCGAGTACAACCAAAAGATTTCGAAACTTCTATGACTGGTTTTCTGTTCTTGTGGAAATAGCGCCGTTTGCATTTTTCACAACGGAAATTCTCCTCGCATACAAAATTTGGGAGGAAGGAAGATTATGTCTTCTTGCTTTAGGACTTCTTCCAATAGTTTACGAACCAACATCAACGACACGAGATCGTTCAAAATATCGATTTTACACAGACATTATTTTTGCTCTTCAAGCATTAATAATGACAATAGTCTGCTTGAAAAATGGTAATTTTGCAATTTTAAGTCTCGCTGCATCGTATATTGTCGCTCGATTCATCTCTGAAGATTTTTGTGATAGATTTGAAGTTCCTTATATCGATCTTTCACAATATAGCCTATGCTTCGTTGAAGTCTTTGCAATTGCGACGTTTAAAGATATTGAAACTTTATCACGTTAATAATATATTTACACAATTTTTTATACATTTAATTATTTTTGTGCCTAAATTATTAAAAGCAAAAAAAAAGAAGGCACAAATGATGAACATATGCAAGAACGGTGAGCGGGTACAATTATACTTTTTTTGCCTCTGCAATCAAAAAACGGCTATAAAAGATTGCTTTTTTGATAAAAAAAAAAAAGAATGTCAAAGTTTCATAAATAGGCCTTCAGAAAAGAATCTTCTATTAAATATTAAACGATAACAAATGAAATTATAACTAATATAATATTTAACAATACTTAAATGTTTCATTAAGGCTTTGAAATTTTACGCAAGTTCGATCGTATATATTTTTATTATACATATATTTTACATATTTCTTTACCTTCTATTTTACTAATATTTTCCAATGAGAAATATAATTTTTATTACTGCTTTTTATCAAGAACAACTTGAATAGTTAATACGATAACCTATTCCCAAATTACATTTAAATTTTTATACATTTTTATAAAATATGTAGAAAAAAAAAATTAGTAAAAATTGTAATAATAATTATTATTTCTAAACCTTCATTAAGGTTTAAAATAATATTTATTATTTTCATTTAATAATAATTAACACCAGCAATAAAAATCAATAATAATACAAAATATATAATTTCTTACGAATAAAAAAAAGTTGATAAAAAAAATTTGTGAATGGGTTAATGCAGTATTTAGAATTTTGTACTTATATGAAAAACTTAAATAGTTTGCAATATTGTAAAACTTATGAAAACTGTACTTTCGTACTAATGAAAAAGTTTCGAACTGATTAATTTGTTGAAAAATTAGTATCGATATACAATGTAGGATCTGTGCCAAATAATGGGTACAAATTTAGGTATGTAAATATAATTTCTTTTTTTGAAAAAGAAAAAAAAAATCGCACAATTATTGTCACCGAGTGATGAGATCTAATAAGTGATAAAACTATTTTTTTTTTCAAAAGTACGAAAGTGTACAGTAAATATTATAATATAATTATAATATGATATGTTGAATTCTTTACAATGAACTAACAATGATTATATATTCACTAATGTTCGATCGATATTTATATTAATACTTTTATATTGATAATAAAAATCTTTTTTCTCTTAAAATGATTTTTAATATTTTCCTATTTCTATTTTTTGGTATTTATTATTATTTACTATTTTATATTCAGAGAAAAATTTTATTTAAATCAAATATAATTTATTTGAGTGAAATAAAATCTTTTTTCGAAATAATTATAATTTTTATTTGAGCCAAATAAAATTTTTATTTAAACCAAATGAAATTTATTTGAAACAAATGAAACATTATCTTCTACAGTATTTTATATATTTTTTCCATACTTAATTCATTAATTTCAAAAAAAGGTAAATTTGAAATTTCTACCATTTTATTTTTAGGAGAAAAAATAAATTTGATAGCCAGTGACGATAGTGACAATAATGAAGGGAGTAAAATGTGACAAAACAAATGAAATTTTCTGTTAATTTTCAGGTTCTGTTTTGGTAGAAAGTATCTTATGTTTCTTGAATCAATTTTGTCTAATTCTTTTCTTTTGCTTGCTTCTGGTTCCAGCATTTACGTTCTTGGAAAACATTGTTATGATCAATACTCTACTTTCAAGCCGTATTTAATTTCTGGATCCATTGGCATTCTTGGATTCTATATCAGATCATTGGGTTCATTAATCTACAATTTATTCTTCCGGATATATCGTAAGTAATTTTTGAAAGATTTTCTTTTTCATTTATTTAGATTTAGAGATTTAAATTTCGGTGTTAATTTTCAAAGTTCTAAAAATTCTGTACATTCTAATGAATGAAATAAAGTTTCGATGTTAATATCTTGAAAAATGTTTTATTAAATTAAAAATTAAAAAAGTAAAAATAAAGATTTAGGAATTACAAATTAATTTTTTATTCCATTAATTTTACGTCAAGTATCGAAAAATTAATTACAAAGTTTCTAAAATGCAAAATTTATTTTTATTGCAATCAACAATTTGTAAAAATATTTTGTTCATTTGAACTTTAAAAAACTCGTAGATCATAAAATAAATAAATAAATTTCCTTTATTTGAACATTCAAATCTTTAGGAATAGAATTTTATTGATAAACGAATAACAGATCAATTATTTTATATCCTAAAAATCTATTTTTATTTTTAGCTATTGATCCTCAAGAGATTGAAGATGAATGGGAGAAAAAGAAGGAAATAAAGGGAAGACCTTTTCGAAATTATTCACTATTTTATCGATTTTCATCGACAATCGCCCAGGGTGGATTAATATATGCAGTTTTCAATTATCATAAATGTCAGATTTTCGGAACTTTTGTCTTGTCGTTGACAATTATTGAAGTTATTTGTGCTCTAGAAGCTAGAGTAAGTATGGAAAATTTGTTATTTGATAAATAATTATTACAAAATTGTAAAATTAATTACGAATATTCAATATAATTTTAATAAAATTTCTCTAACAGCTTCAATTATTTGTAAAAATTGTAATAAAATTTTTCATCAAAAAATTAATTATTTCTGAAAATAATTGAATTTTTGAATAGAATTTTATTAAAACTTTTTTAAAGAAATGAATCCCTGCGAAAAAATTTATTATTTCTACAAATAATTGAATTTTTGCAAAATTGAATTCCAGCGAAAATTTTATTATTTATAAATTAACTTTTCGCAAAGAATTTTATTACAATTATTGAAAATAATTAAATTCTTTACAAAATTCAGTTACTTATTTCAAAATTTTTAGTAAAAATTACAGAAAAAAACTCCACTATTTTCAAGAATATTGAAATAAATTCTTCAAAATAATTTAAATTATTTTATAGAATTTTAATAAAAATCTTGCCAAGATTTAAATTATCTTCAATTCAATTTTATTTACATTTTCTCGAAAGAATTTAATTATTTGAAAAAATGTTGATAAAATTCTTGTAAAATTGTGTTTAAAATAATTGAATTCCAGCGAAAATTTTATTATTTATGGAAATAATTGAATTTTATTAAAAGTTTTTTAAATAATTGAACTTCTGTGAAAAATTCAATTGGAAATTCAAATAATGGAATTTTCTCGGAGAATTTTTACAAGATTTTTAAAAATAATTGAAATTTTCGAAGAAATCAATTAAAATTGTATTGAAAATAAGTGAAATCCTGATAATAATTTTATTATTTATATAAAAATAATTGGATTTTTTTATGAAAATTTTTATTATTTATAGTTTACTTTTTGCCAAGAATTTTATTACAATTATTGAAAATAATTGAATTCTTCATAAAATTCAATTACTTTAAAAATTTGCAGTAAAAATTATTTTTAGAAAACTCCACTATTTTCAAGAATATTGAAATAAATTCTTCAAAACAATTCAATTTCAACTCTATTATTAAAATTTTGCCGAGTGATAGCTTCGATAATTAATTATAATTATAATAATTATGATAATATTGAATTTTTAAAATTTTAGAAGTATAATCAACGATTTAGTCAAGGAAATACGAATGAAGAAAGTTTCTTTGGAAGTTATGCCAAAGAATTTGACAGTTCTCTCGACTATTATTGGATTTTCATTGGAGGATATTTTGGGTGAGTAAAAACATTTATTTTGAAAATAATTTCCTTTTAAACACATTACTATTTTATAGTTGGGTTAAAAGAAACCCCTTCTGCTTGCTGGCTTTCTTACCTTACACTATTTCCATTTTAATTTTGTCTTCTGAAGAATATGATAGAAATCCAAGTCTTCAAATTGGCTTTAATGATTATATGACCGCAGCGTACATTCTTCTCATGATTGAAGCTATCCGCTACGATTTTTCCGAATAGTACAGGAAATTTGGCAACTTAAATTAATTTTAATAATATACAATTAATAATTACTTAAAATTATTGAAAATTATTAGAAATTTTTATTATTCTAAAATATTCAAAAATTATTATTCTATTATCTATTATAGTTAATTATTTTGTTTTATTCAATTACTATTTTGTTAATTCGTTTATAATTCAAAGGAATAAGGAGTTTTTCTACAAACTAAAATTATGGATTATAAACTGAAATGAGAGAATGAAAATTAAAATGACAAATTTTATTGCTAACAAAAATTCATGTAAGTGACAAATTAAGTTTTTTACAGAATAAATGTAATTAAATAAAATCTATATTTACAATTGCGTTGAGAAATAGGAAATTATAAAACAGTTGTGACAAAAAAAAGTTTGAGCAACTTGCACACAAAATTATTATTTACTTAAATTTAACGTTATCTACAAAGATTATAATTTGACAATTCGCTATCGTGAAAATTACACGCAGAATTACATTCTTCTTTTTTCCATACAAACATTTACAAATCAATCATAATTTAAATACATTTACGTTATTACATACAACTATATGAGAAGGACAAGTTTTATTCTTTCACATTATGCACAATTTCTTAGGTTTTATAAAAATTTCTGTACAATAAGTGCATTTTTTATTTACAGTTTTATTTAACTTTTAAAGTTTACGATTAATTCAACTTATTGAAAAATTGCTTTTTATTAACTTAACTGGTAATTAATTGTTTCTAAATAAATTTAATAATTTCAATTGAATTTTAATCATTTAAATTAAAACACACAATTTAAATTTAAAACAATTGAAATTTTAACAATTTAAACTAAGAAAATATTTAATTTATATAAAAATTGTTTTGACATTTTTTCAATGCCTATTAAGTCGAGATTTAATTTTTAGATCTAAATGACACACCAATTTGTTTTTTATTTTAAAAATTACAAAAAAAAAATATGTTGAGCTTCTTAAAAATATACAATTGTCATTGGAGCGCCAGGAAAAATTTGTAAGTACATATTTTACATATGCGCAAGAATTACAAAGAACTATGTGAGTGATATGTCTAGTACATCTTGAAAGTAGAGGAAGGCAGTGAAGAAATGCAGTATTTATAAAACGAACTTCAGTCTCTGACTCAAAAGTAATGTTTCCTTTTTCTTGAAAAAAAAAGAAAATCGTAGATTTTTTCTAAATGTAAAGTTCTCTTTTTACTGAATTCTGATATTCGGTAAAATTTTTTTAAACACTTTTGCAAAAATAGTTATATTTTTACAGATTTGAATTTGGATCTCGCCATGTGACTTGACCAGCCAAGGGTTGAAGTCTCAAACTGTTTCCTGGACTGTCGTCAGCTTCGTAGGCAGCATTCACGTGGCCACTGTGACCTTCGAAAACATCCTTCACAGAAATTTGACTACTTCTCGTTGGACGTCCTTGAATTCCAAGAGGATTGCCAGGAGCTCCGTAGATGTTATTTGCTCCTAAAGTTTGCATATGAGATTTCCTTCTCAATGCTATGATGCTGTTGCGACGTCCTTCGAATGCTTTAAAGGCCTTGGTGGATCTTCTTGTTGACATGTTTCGCGGCAGGCCTGTGAGTAGAAAAAAAATATTTTTTTCAATTTATTTACTATTTGAAAGTATCAATTTTAAAATTAATGTTTTGAAAATCATTGAATTCTTGCAAAGAATCTTATCAAAAAGTTTAAAGAGAATAATTGAATTACTTCGACTAATTTTTTTATTTATGAAAATAATTAAATTCTCGCGAAGAATTTTGTTAAATTTTTTAAAATCCTAATTAAATTCTTTTGAAGAATTTCTTTTAATTTTTTTTAAAAAATAATGGAGTTTTTTTAATAATTTTAATTGAAAATTTTCAAAGCAATTTAATTTTATAAAGAAGAATTTTATTAAAATTGTATTGAAAATAATTGAATTCCTGAGAAGAATTTTATTATTTATAAACATAATTTAATTCTTACGAAGAATTTTACTATTTATAAAAATAATTGAATTGTTTCGAAGAATTTATTAAAATTTTAGGAAATAAATGCATTTTATGTAAATATTTGAAAATAATTCAATTCTTTCGAGGAATTCTATTAAAATTGCTTGGAAAAAAATTTAATTTCTGCAATGGATTTTATTAAAATTAAATATTTTCAAAATAATTGAATTCATCAGAAGAATTATATTATTTTTTGAAAATAATTGAATTCTTTCAATTTTTCTGACGAATATATTTAAAAATTGCATTGAAAGCAATTTAATTTTCATCTAGAATTTTTAAAAATATTTTGAGAATAATTGAATTATTTTTAGAGAATTTTAAATTCTTGTTGAAATTGAGTTTTATGAAAATTTTTGAAAAGATTTAAATTCTTTCGTGTAATTTTATTTAAATTGTATTTAAAATAATTTAATTCCTGCAAAGAATTTTACTATTTATAAAAATAATTGAATTGTTTCGAAAAATTTGTTAAAATGTTTACCATTGCCTTCTGTCAGACTGAAGAAACGTTGACGGAACGCAACATCGAGTGTATTTATCGCTTGCTTTTGTCTGCGACTCTTTTCCAAATTTCTGATAGTTTTTCGTCTTCCGGGACCACTTCCGCTTCCCTCATCGTAATCTCCCTCTATGCCATCCAATCTTTGCAAGTCCCTTACTATTTCCACCGCATGTTTTGAAAGCAGTGCTTCTTCTGATAGATCTTTAGTCTGTTTTTCGAAAATTGAAATATTAAATAATTGAAATTCTATTACATAATTTTTTTGAAATTCAAAAAATTGATACAAAAACAAAAAACAATGATAAATAATGAAATAGGAAATTTATATTGAAAATATCTCACCTTTTTGCAGCTCAATGTCGTGCTGGCCAAAATGTGAGCCAAAGTTCCGAATCGATGGAATAACATGGCAGTGAATTGGATGACCAAAATGAGAGCAAAGAAGAACACGAAGACGAGACCAATTGGCTCAAGCTGCAAATACTCCTTTGAAATGTGAATCTGCAAAAAAATTAACAAGTTAGTACCATTTTTTTTACTCAATTATTTTTAATTTTTAACAGATAATTCGATTTCTCTGCAATTTCAAATTTAGTGACATTTGTAATTAATGCTCATTTATAAAATTTATTTGCTCATTTATTTTATAAATAATGCTTATTTATAAAATTCATTTTTGATCGATTTTAAAAAAATGTGTTTCAATTGGGTTCAAAAGTGCAGAGATTTTAACAACATGCTTTAATATTATTATTGCTAGTAACAATAGGATGATTATTTCAGAAATTTTACCAACAGAACTGAGCTTTGCTTTCAAAACCATATTCCTATTTACAAATTATACAATTATTTTATTTAATATTTTATTATCATATTCAATTAAATTTAAAAAAACAATATGTTATAAATTTTATTATTTTTTTAAAGAAGAAGTTTGAAATTACTATGAATTTTAATTTTTAATACAAAACGATAAGATTTCCAGTAAGAAAGTTGTTTGAAAAAGTTCTTTATAATTATTATAATTGAAGAAAAAATTATTTTAACTAAAGTAAATTTAATTTCTCAGATCTGTTTTTTGTAATATTTCTCAAATATATCAAAAAATTGAATTTGGTGTATAAACATAATGAAGAGTAGAGTGTCATTATTATTAATTACAAATACGAGAAAAACAAAAATATTTTAAACAACCACCACGTGAAGATATTAAAATATATATATTCCATGACCAGGATCAGGGTCACATTTATTAATTGTGCCCGGTACACCATCACAGGTAGTGTGCATCCCTAAAATGTATTAAAAATTAAAATGTAAAGAGTTAGACACAAAACATTGAGAGAAAATCATGTGAATTTTCTATGAGAAATATTTCTCGTGATCAAGAAATTAATTATCAAAATTAGTCCTCATAGTGGAACCGAAATCGTGGATGTCTTATTTTGTTTTAAAATTATCAAAACGTAATTTTGGAAAATATTTTTAAATATATTTCACCACCACAAATAGAAGACAATCGAATAAAATTCTTTTTGAAAAAGAAAAAAAATTGAATATTAGTAATTTAGTACACCCACGATTGGTAGGAAGGTGAATCATCCCATTTGCAGAGGAAGTGTGGGCATGATTATTAATGAATCTCTGAAACCATATTTGGTTATTCACAAGATAAGAAATTGATCAAATCTGATCAAATGTGATTTTCCAAAACCAATCGACATGCCTCGTTTTTTATATTGAAAAATGGAATTCTAGTTTAATAATTCTGAAATTATGAGAAATCTTTGAGAAATTTGGAAGATTGTCGATAGAAAGAAAGAATAATAATTTTATTATTGATTTACGAAAATCTAGTTTCGTTTTTAGTTTTGTATCGACTCGAAACTGAATTTTAACAGAGTTTAGTTTTGTGTCGATTCGAAACTAAATTGAAAATAAATTCGATCTCTGGATAAGGATGAATTTTGAAAAAATGATTTAAAGAAAACTAGCGAGGCACATCGGTGAAATTGTTAGTTTTTCTGTTTTGAAAAACTGAAAATCGAGGCTTTTCGCAGTAAATGCCTCTACCTCCTTGGATTCTTCACTGAAGGTGATGTTCGTCTTGACCCCGAATGGCCATACGATGTGCAGTTTATCTTTGTTCAGTTGCATTAAGAATACGATCAGTACGAACAAAGTATTGAACATTAAAAATGCGTAGACACTCTTGTTTCTCAGCTCGATCAAATCATTGGCGATCCTTGCCTGTTTAGAGTCAAATAAAAAAAAAGAGAGAAAACTTATTAGTAAAATAGACTAAAACTCCGTAAGTAACGACACATTTGCCTGATTAGAATTTATTTCTGATTCAGTAAAAAGGGCATAAAAAGAATTATTGTTTTCACGATTTAATTGAATTTTACTTTTTTACTTTTGTCGAAAGCAAATTTTTCCGAATCGCAGTTTGGCGAAATTGAGTTTATAGAAAAGAAAGAAAATTGGCCCCTTTTATCAGCGAAATAATTCGAGCAGGAAAACACGTGCTACCCACGGAGTGGATTTTTACCTCCTGGGAAGTTCCATCATAAGTGATGTTGGTCTTGATACCAAAGGGCCATTTCACGTGCAACAAGTCTTTGTTTAGTTGCATGAGAAATACGATCAGCACGAAGAGAGCGTTTATCATAAAGAATGCAAACACGCTCTTGTCTCGTAAATCCTTCAAGTCTTTGGCGATACGAGCCTGACGTGAACATTTGAGATTAATTTTGAGAATTTTATAATTTTCAATTATATTAATTAATTTTGAAAGCGTCAAGCAATTTTTCTTTAGCCAAAAAGCGTAAAAGTTCACCAGGGTTGCCACAGGTCAGGAAAGTCAGGGATTTCAGGAAAAAGTCGGGGAAAATAGAATTGGTCAGGGAAATCAGGGAAAAGTCAGGGAAAAACAAATTTAAGTTTTTGTGGCAACTCTGTTTATAATATCAATGCCAAGAGAGAGAAAATAAAAAGAGAAAAAAGAAAAATATTTTTAAAAAATTGTTTTCTGAATAGAAAGAAAATTTTTAGAAAATTAAACAATTTTCCGAAAAAAATACTCATTGATTGGAGAAAAAAGGTTTTAGGGAGATTTTGAAAGGGGAATTGTCTTCAGTTCGTACTTGTTTAATTTTTCGAAAGTTTTTGAATATATCAAAAACTTGGGGAAAATTTGAATAAAGTTTAACTGAAGATATCGTTCCCTTGTGATCGATTTTACCTTCTCAGCTTTGTCTTCATCGATGGGATAAAGATACTTGTCTAAAAGGTCTTTCCAGAATTGTTCCTCCTGGAGATTGAGGACATCGACTTCTCCATTTTTGAGTCCATCGTCGTCGAGCCAATAGGGTCGAGATGGGAAGTGACCTTCGCGATTTCCCTCGGTATTTTGACTAGCGACAGTTTCCGTTTCACTGTCACGACCATCGTCTTCTCCTGGGTCTTCGCCTATTGCTCCAAGATGATCAGCCGTCCTCGAACCCACTGATGATGCACGTCTTCTTCCAGATATATGCGCATGTGGATCGACAGCTCTGTTGGAAAATTAATCCTCTCTTTAGAATTTTATTTATTTATATATTTATTTTCTATTTTAATTTTTAAATGATATATATTAAATATATTTTTTATTGGGAAAATGAACCAAAATTTATTTCTTCTTTTTAGAGACCGGTACGAGAACTGAATTTTGAGGAAAGTAATCAACTCACTTTTCGATGGTATCGAGTCGTTTTCCCAGTTGCTCCAGAGACTCGGCAATCGCAACAAGTTGCTGTTTCTCTGAAGATGGCTTGCCGTGAGTGCAGAGCATGCACTTAAATAATCCAGCGAGAGAAATTTCAATCGAACCCTCGTCATCGTCATTCGTTCCTGCTCCATTTTGCAAAAATCCAAGTAATGATTTCTGCTTTGCTTTTCGTTTCGCTTCCTCCGCTTCTTTCTTTTCTTGTTCAATTTCCTATTTTCAAACACAATTTTTGTTCATTTCTTCCAAATTCTATTTTTCCTAATAGTTAAAATTAAATGAATTTTATAATTTTTAAAAATGACTGAATTCTGTTAAAAGAAATTTTATAAAAAATTTTATTTAAGGTAATTCAATTCTCGCGAAGAATTTTATAAAAAGTTTTGAAAATATATTTAATTAAATTCTTTTAAGGAATTTAATCAAAATTGTCCTAAAATTAATTCAGTACTTCTGTAGAATTTCATTATTTTTGAAAATAATTGAATATTATTTCGATAAATTTGATTAAAATTGTATTGAAAATAATTAAATTCAATCTTCTAAAGGAATTTTTAAAAAAATTTTTAAATAATTGATTTTTTTCAAGGAATTTTATTAAAATTAAGTAAAATAATTGAATTCCATCAAGAAATTTCAATAAATTTTTTGAAAATAGTTGAATTTCTCTGAAGAATTTTATTATTTATGAAAATAATTGAATTCTTGACAAGAATTTTGTTAAAATCTTTTAAGATAATTAAATTATTTCTTTAAATTTGATTATGTATTGAAAATAATTGATATCTTCTTAAGGATTTTAGCAAAATTTTTTAAAGTAGTTTATTTCTTTCAAGGAATTTTATTAAAAATAAAAAAAAATAATTGAATTCTATCTAGAAATTTTATTGAAATTATATTGAAAATAATTAAATCTATTCAAAGAATTTTATTATTATTCATGAAAATATTTGAATTCTCGTCAAGAATTTTATTAAAATCTTTAAAAATAATTTAATTGTTTCGAGGAAAACTAAACTTCTTCCGGAGAATTTAGTTAAAATTGTATTTAAATTAATTAAAATCTTCTGAAGAATTTTATCAAAATTTTTGAAATTGATTTCTTTCAAGGAATTTTATTAAAGATTTTAAAAAAATAATTTAATTCTATTGAGATTGTATTTAAAAATAATTTAATTCCACAAAAGAATTTTATTATTTATGAAAACAATTTAATTCTTGCCACGAATATTATTAAATATTTCGAAAATAATTTAATTGTTTCGATGAAAATTTCAATTCTTACTGGAAATTTAGTTAAAATTTTCTTGAAAATAATTAAATACTTTCTGGAAATTAAATTAAATCTTTTTTGGAAATAATTGAATATTCTTTCAACGATTTTCATAAAAAAATTGTAAAAATAATGGAATTCTTTTAAGAAGTTTCATTTAAATTGTATTAAAAATATTTAAATTCATGAGAAGAATTATAATTATTATTTTTGAAAATAATTGATTTCTTCTGAAGAAATTAATTATTTTCAAAAATAATTGAAGTCTTGAAAAGAATTTTGTTTAAATTTATGAGAATAATTGAATTAATAAATATTGATAATAATTTTCCTTTTTAATTGTTTTCAATTTGAAAATTAATATACTGAAAATCATTGAATTCTTGCAAGGTATTTATCAAAAAATTTGAAAATAATTGAATTCTTTTGAGAAAATGTAAAAAAATGTATTGAAAATAATTTAATTCTTGGCAAGATATTTTTAAAATAATTAATTGAATTGTAATTAATAATTTTCCTATTAAATTATATTACAATTATTCATAGAAAATTAAATTCTTTTAAACAATTTTATAAGAGTTTCTGTAAATAATTACATTTTTTTTTTTTTGAAGAATTTCATTAATTTTGTAAAAATTTACAAAGAATTTTATTAAAAACTGTTCAGAAAAATTTTATTACAATTTTTAAAAATACTTGAACCTGTTAGAGGAATTTTTTTAAAATTATCTTGAATATAATTGATTTTTTTTACAAATTTGATTAAAATTATTTTGAAAATAATTTAATTTCACAGAAGAATTTTATTATTTCTGAAAATATTTTAATCCTGCGAAGAATTTTCTTATTTATGAAAATAATTGAATTCTTGCGGAGGATTTTACCATTCATAAAAAGAATTGAATTGTTTCGAAGAATTTTATCTGAACTCTTGAAAATAATAGAATTTTTTAAAGGAATTTTGTTAAAAATTTTGAAAATTATGATTTTTTTAAAAAGAATTTCATCAAAATTGTCGAAAATAATTAAATTCATATTAAAATTCTTGAAAATAATCGAATTTACTTAATATTTTTAAAAATAATTGTATTCTTCCGAGAAATTTTATTAAAATTGTATTAAAAATAATTGAATTGCTCTAAAAAATATTACATATTATTCATGAGAATAATGAAATTCTTGCGATAAGTTTTATTAAAATTTTCGAATAATAATAAGCAAGAATATTTAATATTATATGCACTTAATAAGTGAATTCTTTAAATTTTGAATCCGTAATTATTCAAAAATTGATGTTTATTCTTGAAAATAAAAAATTTTTTAATTTACAAAATAATATATGGAATACCGTGTATCATTTGCTAGTTGTTAATAATTGTGACGCACTCTGAAAAGGGTAACTATGCAAAAAATGACAAGTCCGTTTCTTCAGAGCGCGTCAATTAATAAAATTACAATAAAAAAGTGCAAATAAGAGTTAGAAGTGTAAATTAGTATGAGGAGAGTAAATTAATATTAAAAGTGTAGAAAGAAATAAGTGTAATGGAAAGTTAGCGAAGGACAAATCCGAAGGGGATTACCGCATCAGGTTTTTTCTTCTGCACTTCCCTCGTGCCCCAAGTAATATCATTAAGATTGTAGACGGAGAATATAATTAGAACCAGATACATTGAAGGTACAGAAATGTAGTAAATAATTCCGTAAAAGAGACAATTAATTTCTTGAGGATGTAACAGGGCAGCCACTGTTAATTGAGCAATTACCATTAAAAGAAAGAGTGGAGATGGTGAGAATAAACCATCTTCAACAATGTTAATCGATATCGCCGTTATTACCGCAACCATCACCAATCCATAAAAAATACTTATCACCGCTGCCGCTAGAATCTATTTTATCAGAATTAGTTTGATCAAAAAGAAGTGTCACAAGCAAGTGCACAAAAAAGAAATTCCATCACCAAAGTTCCATTTATCATTCCATGCGTATTTCCTCTTTTCTTGTTACTTTTTTTGTTACTTTTTTCTTGTTACTTTTTTTCTTGTCCGTTATTTACCAGCACCGATTTATTTTACAGAGAACACTGGCAAGCAGACGAACCTTTTTGGTTTTCTTCACTTGGACTTCACGCGTGCCCCAGGTGACGACGTTTAGATTAATGATGGAGTAAAGGATCAAGAGAAGGTACATGGATGGAATCGAGAGGAGATAAATGAGACCGGGGACTATGCACCAAAATTCCTGAGGATGGAGACAAGCTGCTATGAAGAACGAAGTCGAGAGTGATGTCAAGAATATTGCCGATGGAGAACCCATACCGTCCTCCCCCAGCTGGAGGGCTGTACCAACTATCACAGCCATCATTATCATCGCGTAAGCCGTTGACAATATTTGCGCACATAATAGCTAAAAGGACGAACACATCTGATGCAATTTTGCCGAATGGATATTCAAGCAGGTACAATATTGACAAAACATTTAAATAAGATAAAAAGGAAAATACGACAAACATTTAATCAACTTGATCAACGAAAAAAAGTAAATTAATTAAAAATAACTCAGCAATATTACCAGAAAAAATTGCACAAAATATTTAGAAAAAAATTCATATTCTTGTTTTGATGATAAATGTCGTACAATTAAATATTAAGTTAAAAATAATATTTAAATGCATTAAATAAATTTTTTTCGTTGATCAACTTCGTAACATTTATATATTAATTTTTCAACAATACGAACGTATTATAAAATTTTTTGAAAAAAGTACGCAAACTTACCTGAATATTGGATTTACATGTAAAACAAACAATCATAAAGAAGAGAATTGGAATGATATTGTAGTAAAAACTGGTCCAGTTGTCAATTTTAAAAGCGGCGACAAAAGCTCCCACCAACATAAGGAAAATAGTTCCAGGTCCAAGAATCGTACCACCTAGAAATGGATACAATTATTCTATTTCTAAAATATTCAGGAGTAGAAGAAAATTTTGTTTCTCTCACGTTAATTACGATAAAAATTAATTAAATTAATGTTTCTTTGTCGAAAATTACAATAAACAGGGTAGCCTCAGGTCGGGGAATTCAGGAAAAGTAGAATTGGTCAGGGAAATCAGGGAAAAGTGAGGAATTTTTATTAAAAGTTCTGGAAAAAATTAAATTTTTAGAATTCATAAGAAAATTCTGAATTTTCGTCTTTTTTTGTTTGTCTCATAAAACATGAAATTCAAAAACAAAACAAATTTATTTTGGTTATGCAAATTACAAAATTTTTTATTTTCAAATACATATAAATTTTAAAACAATTTCATAATCAAAATTTAAAAAATTCATTTATTCAAGAATTCAATTATTTTTATATAAATAATAACATTCTTTAGAAGAATTCAATAATTTTTATAAATAGTAAATTTTTTTACAAAAATTCAATTATTTTTAATAAAATTTCACGAAAGAATTCAATTATTTTTATAAATAGTAAAATTCTTCGCAAGAATTCAATTATTTTTATAAATATAGTAAAATTCTTTGCAGGAACTCAATTATTTTCAAAATAATTTTAATTGAATTTACCAGCAGAATTCAAATATTTTAAAATATTTCCATAAAATTCAATTATTTCCTAAAATTTTAATAAATTCTTCGAAAAAATTTAACTATTTTTATAAATTCTAAATTTCTTTGCAGGAATTAAATTATTTTTAATTTAATTTAAATAAGAGTACACGAAAGAATTTTATTGTTTTAAAAAATTTCCATAAAATTCAATTTCAACAAGAATTTTAAATTCTCTAAAAATAAATTAATTAATCTCAAAATATTTTTAAAAAATTCTATATGAAAATTAAATTACTTTGAATGCAATTTTTAAATATATTCGTCAAAAAAATTGAAAGAATTCAATTATTTTTGAAACAACTTTAATTGAATTTCTTGAAAGAATTTAATTATTTTCAAATATTTCTATAAAATTTTTCAAAACAATTCAATTTTTCCTAAAATTTTAATAAATTCTTCGATTATTTCAATTATTTTTATAAATAGTAAAATTCTTTGATGAAATTAAATTCTTTTCAAAACAATTTTAATAGAATTCCTCAAAAGAATTTAATTATTTTCAAATATTTACATAAAATTAATTTATTTCCTAAAATTTAAATAAATTCTTCTTAACAATTCAATTATTTTTATAAATAGTAAAATTCTTCGAAAGAATTCAATTATTTTTATAAATAATAAAATTCTTTTTAAGAATTTAATTATTTAAATTCTTCGGAAATTAGTTAATTTTTTTAATATATATTTAATTAATTATTGAAAATAATGGATTTATAGAAGAATTTCACTCAAAAACACAAAAAAATTAAATTTTGGAGAAGTTAGATATAAATAACTGCAAAAATTCAATTATTTTCAAAAGTAATAAAATTCTTCGCAATAATTCAATTATGTTAAAAATTATTTCAATTATCTTTATAAATAATAATATTCTTCTCAGAAATTCAATTATTTTGAAAAATTGAATAAAATTCTCGACAAAATTTTAATTATCATTATAAATAATAAAAGGGCATAGCCGGATAAGTATGCAAAAAGTGCCCCCGCATGTATTTATTTCATAATTTATCCATACATTCCTACCCACTTAAAGATAACATTCTGAAATTTTGAACTCAAAATTCGCTTTTTTAGGGGAGTTATGGAGGGGGAAAGAAAAATCAAAAAATGCGTTTTTCTCGAAAACTACTGAACCGATTTTAATGAAATTTAAATATGTTATAAATGTCAACAAAACGGTTTAAAAAAAATTTTTTTAAATTTTTTTTTCAAAAAAATCCAAAAAAATTTTTTTTTTGAATTTTTCAAAAATTTTTTTTTTTTATTTTTTTAAGAGCGACACCCGCCATTTTTTTACTATTTACTCGTTAAAGTGTCTATTTTAAGAAAAAAATTTTTCTCAATTTTTTTTTGAGGTGCGTGATGGTGAAAAAAAATAAAAACCGCAAGTGGGTACAATGTACAGCTTAAATTTTGAAAAATCTATCATATTCTTTAAAAATTTGTTATTTCGAGTCATTTTTAGGTTTCTAATTATAAAATTACTATAGAATTTAAAAAATTCAAAATGGCGCATCCAAGATGGCGGAAAATTTTCCTAAACGTGAATCATATTTTGAAGTTTCATAACAAAAATTTCAGATACAATTAACTGGGGCTTAGGGGGTTAAGTGTGCAAAAACTGCCCCCGCATCTATTTTTCTTAAATTTGGCTCATATATTACTATCTATTTGACTATATTTTTCTGCAATTTTGAACTCAAAATTCGCTTTTTTGGGGGAGTTATGGAGGGGGAACGAGAAATCAAAAAACTTATTTTTCTCGAAAACTACTAAACCGATTTTAATGAAATTTTAAGAGGTTGTAAATATAGATAAAACGATTTTAGTAAAAAAAAATCAAAATTTTTTTGTCAAAAAAAAATCAAAATTATTTTGTAAAAAAAATCAAAAAATTTTTTTTTGAAATTTTCAAAAATTTTTTCAGGGTTATTTTTTTAAGTGACCACTTTCTCTTTTGTTGTAAAAAGTACTTTATAATGTCCCTTTTAACATATATTTTTTCCAAATTTTTAAAAAATATAGTTTTTGAGCAAAATGTCAAAAACCATGGTCATGCTATTTGTCACGTACGGGAATGCACATATATACATATGGGCAATTTCATGTGATAGGGTATAGCCGGATAAGTATGGAAAAAGTGACCCAAATATATTTTTCCTATTCATTCCTACCCACAAAATAACTTTTTGAAATGTTTAACTCAAACTTTTAATTTTTGTGAGCTTATGGAGGGAAAAAAATCGAAAAACGCATTTTTCTCTAAAACTATTGTATGCATTTTAATGAGCTTTGGATATGTTGAAAAGACAATTAAAGAGATAAAAAAACAAATTTCAAATTCTTTTTTCAAAAAATTCCAAAAATCTGTTTTTTAAAAAATTTTATTTTGAAATTTTCAGAATTTACTGTGACACACACTGAAATCATGTCAGGCAAAATTTTTTAATTAAGTAGATCACATAAGAGACTGAAATGATAAAATACATAAAAATGTCACATTAAAAGAACCAAAAAAATTTTTTTCTGAAAATTTCAAAATAAAATTTTTTAAAAAACAGATTTTTGGAATTTTTTGAAAAAAGAATTTGAAATTTGTTTTTTTATCTCTTTAATTGTCTTTTCAACATATCCAAAGCTCATTAAAATGCATACAATAGTTTTAGAGAAAAATGCGTTTTTCGATTTTTTTCCCTCCATAAGCTCACAAAAATTAAAAGTTTGAGTTAAACATTTCAAAAAGTTATTTTGTGGGTAGGAATGAATAGGAAAAATATATTTGGGTCACTTTTTCCATACTTATCCGGCTATACCCTATCACATGAAATTGCCCATATGTATATATGTGCATTCCCGTACGTGACAAATAGCATGACCATGGTTTTTGACATTTTGCTCAAAAACTATATTTTTTAAAAATTTGGAAAAAATATATGTTAAAAGGGACATTATAAAGTACTTTTTACAACAAAAGAGAAAGTGGTCACTTAAAAAAATAACCCTGAAAAAATTTTTGAAAATTTCAAAAAAAAATTTTTTGATTTTTTTTACAAAATAATTTTGATTTTTTTTTGACAAAAAAATTTTGATTTTTTTTTACTAAAATCGTTTTATCTATATTTACAACCTCTTAAAATTTCATTAAAATCGGTTTAGTAGTTTTCGAGAAAAATAAGTTTTTTGATTTCTCGTTCCCCCTCCATAACTCCCCCAAAAAAGCGAATTTTGAGTTCAAAATTGCAGAAAAATATAGTCAAATAGATAGTAATATATGAGCCAAATTTAAGAAAAATAGATGCGGGGGCAGTTTTTGCACACTTAACCCCCTAAGCCCCAGTTAATTGTATCTGAAATTTTTGTTATGAAACTTCAAAATATGATTCACGTTTAGGAAAATTTTCCGCCATCTTGGATGCGCCATTTTGAATTTTTTAAATTCTATAGTAATTTTATAATTAGAAACCTAAAAATGACTCGAAATAACAAATTTTTAAAGAATATGATAGATTTTTCAAAATTTAAGCTGTACATTGTACCCACTTGCGGTTTTTATTTTTTTTCACCATCACGCACCTCAAAAAAAAATTGAGAAAAATTTTTTTCTTAAAATAGACACTTTAACGAGTAAATAGTAAAAAAATGGCGGGTGTCGCTCTTAAAAAAATAAAAAAAAAAAATTTTTGAAAAATTCAAAAAAAAAATTTTTTTGGATTTTTTTGAAAAAAAAATTTAAAAAAATTTTTTTTAAACCGTTTTGTTGACATTTATAACATATTTAAATTTCATTAAAATCGGTTCAGTAGTTTTCGAGAAAAACGCATTTTTTGATTTTTCTTTCCCCCTCCATAACTCCCCTAAAAAAGCGAATTTTGAGTTCAAAATTTCAGAATGTTATCTTTAAGTGGGTAGGAATGTATGGATAAATTATGAATTAAATACATGCGGGGGCACTTTTTGCATACTTATCCGGCTATGCCCTTTTTCTTCAAAATTCAATTATTTTCAAACATTTTATTAAAATTCTTGGCAAAATTTCAATTATTTTCAAAATATTTTCTCAATTCAATGATTTTCAAAATATTTTCTCAATTCAATGATTTTCAATATCTACTATTTTAATAAAATTTTCCAAAAGAATTATAAATATTTGAAAATTCTCAAAGAACTTTTTCAAAAATGATTAAAAATAATTGATTAAAAACGAATTTTAGTTAAAAATTCTAGAAAATAGTAATTAAATTCAAATTATGAGAATAATTTTGATGTAATTACAGTAAGAATACGTCGTTGAAATTTCAAAAAGTTTTGAATTTGAAATTTTTGAAAATCTCAATTTCTATGGAAAAATAGTAATTATTTAATAAGTTTTTAAAAAATAAGTTATTGATGTTGTCGAATAATTTTACAATTAATGAAATTCGTAAATAAATGTTATAGAACATTTTTTTTAGTATCTAATAATTTCTAGAGTGAATCAGAATATTCTTTAGGTTCAGGAAAAAAGTGGAAATTTAGTCTTGAAATCAGGGAAAAAGAAACTAAATATTTATGGCAACGCTGAATTAAAAATGAATTAAATTAATTTTTCTTACCCATCAAAAGAATCTGATAAGATATATAGGGCATGGAAATATTGTCGTTAATTTTTATAGTTCTTTTTGCATCCATTAGTAAATCCAAAATGTTGGCTATTGTTGAAGGCACCCATCGACGACGTTGGTTGTAAAATTCATTGAAACCTTCAGGAGCATGTGTATAGGCGTCACTTGCAGCTGAATATTCAACCTGGATAAAGAATTAAATTTATTAAATTTATTTTAATGAATTGATTAGTATTTTTGTCTTGTGAGCTTTTGATTTTGATTTTTTTTTTTTTTTTTGAGAGAGAGGGGGAGAGAGATTTCTTCTGAAATTTATAAAAAGTTTACTAACCCTGTAGCCTCTTTGTAGAAGCAAAGTACAAAGCCATCTATCTTCTCCCTGATCATATTGAACGTAGTGTCTAGCTTCTTCAGATCTGGTTGTGTATTTTTTCATTACGTTATCATCCATCAGTGCCTTTCCTCTGAAAAGAGAGAAACATCCAGGACTACAGAGAACGCATCCAATCATGTGTTCAGTTGCTTTTTGCAGCCAATGACCAATCGCATATTCGAACATCTGGTACCAAACCATCGGACCTAAATTTATATTTATTATAAATACCAATTCAATTCGATTTAGTAATACTTAGTAGAATTAAAATAATAATGTTAATTTATCATCATTATTATTTAAATTATATTGACTATAAGAATAATGATGAAATTATTTTCGTACCGGATCCAACGGGGTGAATACGTCCACAAGCGGCTCCGAGGTTTTTATTCTTCTTCATCAAATCCACTAGTAATTTTACAGCTGCCGGTTGAAAGTCAATATCGCCGTCGAGAGTCAGTAGGAAGGTATTTTCTGCAATGACTTCCTTCCGATCGACACTGATTGGTAATTCCATTAATCGATGTCCAAGTAAATAATACATGTACATGACCTGAAAAAAATTTCTAATTAGTATCAAATTTGGTTCTAAAAACTTAATTAACATCAAGATGAATTTAATTTTCTGAATTTGATTCTAAAAATTTAATTAGTATCAATTTTTTCTGAATTTGATTCGGAAAATTTTTAAATTATTAAATTAACTCTATTACCTGACTCCAACGTTTTCTGTGACGAATTTTACTTTTGTCCTTTAGGTGAGCAATCATCTTGGTTTTTCCTGGCAGTGTCCACATTAATCGACCTCCATATGGAGTGGGAATCTTTTTCGGAGCTCTCACATGCATTCGAGTTTGATGAACATCTGAAGCAGCTTCATCCAAAGTGGCCACCAACAGCTTTACGAATCTATTCACTTGACTCTCGTTCTCATCATGATCAGAAAGCTCGAAAGCGTCATCGAAAAATATATGCGCTAAAAGTAAGTAATTTAATTTTATTAAAATACAAATTGTCATCGAGTGATAAATTCAAATATTAAATTTTATATTTATTATAAAAAAGAAAAATTATTATTTTTTTTCTAATTATATTAGAATTATCAAAAATTTTAACATATTTCTTCTCGAGAAATCAATTAGTTTCCTAAATAATAAAATTCTTCAAAGAAATTCTATTATTATCAAATTTTTTGATAAAATTTTTCGCAATAATTGGAGGATTTTCAATAAATTAATTTTAAAAATGGAAATTATTTAAAAAAGAAAAATTATTAAAAAAATTTATGAAACAAAAAAGCAAACAACAACTAACTTTAAACTGCGAACAGATTACGGAAATACAACGATTATGAGTATAGATATATTAATTTGAAGCTAATAATAACTAATTTGACACTTACTTTCGAATTCGTAATAATCAGGATCAACGACTTTCAGATACTTTTGAGCGACGCGTCTTGCACACTGATCCTCATCTAATCGCAAAATACTCTTTAAGAATTCAATCATCTCTTCTTTGTTCTCGTGCCACATTGTCGCACAAGCAAATATCCTCGTGACATGATCGCTATTTTTCACCACTGACGGAGGAGTACTAGTGCCATCGGTTTGTTCATAAATTGTTTCATAATCACCGTCTCCTTTTTCTTTCTCTATTTCCGCTAAGTCCTGGAAAATTCGGTTTAAATTAATTAACCAAAAATATAATAGGTTTGCCACAAATCAGGAAAATCGGGGAATTTAGGAAGAAATCGGGAAAGATAAAATTGGTCAGTAAAATTAGGGAAATGTCAGGGGATTTTATCAAAGGGACTATTTTTATCAAATTTTAATCAAGAATTTCATTGCAGATTTTTTAAAAATCGAATTTTCAAGGAATTTTAATTTAATAATTAGTTAACTCTAAAAAGATTGTAATTAAAAATTTTTCTTTCAATTTGAATCTTTATGCATTATAATTATTTTAGAAAAGATTTTAGTTAAAAACTGTTGTAATTTTTAAAAATAGTTAAATTTCAGAAGGTTCTAAACTAAACTTTGTGAAAATTTTAATTTCCGCAAAAAAATTTATAATAATTAAAAAAAAGAAATTTATTAAAAATTGTATGTCAATTTTAAATAATTTTATTTAAAAATTCTGAAAAATTATATTTCTTAGAAATTTTAATTCTATTTTTTTAAAACACTTCAATTTCTAAAATAATTTTACTAAAGAATTATAAAATTAATGGAACTTTTGTGTAATTGAATTGAAAATATTCTAAGAAAAGATTTTAGTTAAAAACTGTTGCAATTTTTGAAAATTAATTGAATTTCAGGTTTTAAAATAAACTTTTTCAAAAATTTTAATTCTGACGAAGAAATTAAAAATTGAAAAAAAAAATTCTAAGACAATTCAATTTTTAGAACAATTTTACAAAAGAATTATAAAATTAATAGAAATTTTGTAAATTTGAATTGGTAATAATTCAATTTTTTAATAAAGAATTCCATTGCAGAAATTTAATAAAATCGAGTTTTCAAGGAATTTTAATATAATAATAATTAGTTAATTTTAAAAAAGATTAAAATTTAAATTTTGTCTTAAATTCGATGTTTCAAAAAGTTTCTATTCGAAATTCTAAAAAATTAGTTTCTTAAAATTTCCATTTCTATTTTTTAAAGATAATGAAATGTTTATAAACAAGTAATTGAAAATTTTTGAAATAATTGAATTTTTCTAAAATTCTATTAAAAATAATTGAAATTTTTTAATTAATTAATTTTATTTTTAAAATAGTTTAAAACAACCTTAGAAGTTAAAGATTAAATCACCTATTACTTCTAAAAATTATTACCTGTTTTATAATTAAACTCTACTTGATTTTTTTTATAAGAATCAGGGAAAAAGTCAAAAATCTGTCTGTAAATGTGGAAAAATAATAAGAAAACTCATTCAATTTTAAGAAACATTCAATTTTTCAAAAAATGATTTAATTTTGTATTTAAATAATTGAAATCTAGTAGAATTTTCTAAGCAAAATTGATTTAAAAATGAATTTCAGTTAAAATTTTAGATAATAATTGAATATTAGAAGCTTTATAGAATGAATTTTTAGAAATAATTAAATTATAAAAATATTAATTTTAATTAACAATTCTGTACCTGCAATTAATTTTTTTGACAAAGTTTTGATGGAAATTTTTTTGAAATTATTTCTAGTTTTTATTTACTAATATATTTAATTAAAGAATTTCCTAATAATCGAAATTAGGTAAAATTATAAAATGTATGCAAATTGATTTGAAAATTCTCAAAGAACTTTTTCAAAAATTATTAAAAATAATTTATTTAGAGATATTGTTAATAATATTGTTTTCATAAACAATTTTATTTGGGGAAAAAAAAATTTTTTGGGAAAAAAGAATTTTGGGAGAGACTCTTCTTTAGGAATACAATTTTTTGGGAAAAATGTCCGTTGGGAAAATAGGCTTGGAAAAAGTGACCCCCTACCGAAAATTCTGTCTGGAAATTAGGAAAAAGTGAGGGAAAGAAAAGAAAAAATTTTTGTGGCAACCTTGCATAATTTTTTCTTAATTTTCATAAGTTTGATAATTTCTTTTTAATCATTACTATTTTTCATTTCTAATATTGGATATTTTTTTTATTATTTTAGGTATCATCTGAAATAAGAAGAGAATTCTTACCTCGACCTTGACTTCGGGTTGATCGTCCCGTTTTCGATTAAGTCCCATTGACTGATCAATGAGCAGGGAATCGTACATCGGCACGACAAAGAGCTTCTCCGTAGCAGCTAAACGCTCGCATTTTGGAGTCCAAATATGAAGTGTAATCCATGTCTGCGATAGTAGCCAGAGCAACCAAACCCAGGCGTATTGTTTGGAAATAAAATCGTTAAGTAAGTACAAAGGAGGCGATTCGTAAAAGAGATAATCTGGTATTGTCCCATGAAAGAAACAAGGGTTACTATTGCGAATACCACAAGCCGCTATGAGTAACGATATGGAAACTGGAATTGTCAGACTCACTGGAAACGCGTAACTGAATCCCTGAATCAGGATCTTACACGCGAACTTTCCTGAAATGGGATTATTTATTCAAATTCGCATATATAAGTAAACTGCTTGAAATTGTTGAATCAAGAGCAAAAAAAAATAACTTTTTTCACTGAATAGAATAACTTGCTTAGCTGCGCAAAGGAAGCTTTTTAAAAACAGAGAATAGGAATACCATTTTTAGAAGAATAGAATGCATTTGTTTTTGTTTTTGTTTCAGAGAATCAGATTATACTTACCAAATACGTATGCGAAATAGGCACCGAAAATTTGCAAGAGGAGAACGTAAATCGGTGTATTGTAGTCGGCATTAACGACTTCAGTTTCGCCGATTCGTATTATTTCCGATAGATCGGTTATCCGATCGGATCCTGCTTGTCTAACGGCGTGGACAATTATTTTATGATCGCTGAAAGCCGCTCCCATCATTGAAAAAAGATGACCGACATTCTGGCCTTGAGCTTGAAGAATCAGAAGCGAAGTAATGAAGAAGGCAATTACCTTCCAAACGGATACAAATACATAGGTAAAGTATCTCGTCACCCTGAGTTCCTTCTTCACTCTTCCTAAAACTCTCACTATACCTAAAATTAATTTTAATCTTTAATCTTTGAACTGCAATTAATACAAAAATAAATAGAAATTTCGCTAAACTCTTTTTTCTACATTTTTTGGTATTTTTTATATCTTTTAGATTTTTTATTTTTTTTTCTAAAGTAGGCATTTTCTTCATTCTAACCTTTTTTTATTTTCAGGAAAAATAAAAGTAGCTGACAATTAAAGTGAATTTTCTTATAAATGAAAGGAAAAAATTCGTAACGATAATTAAAATAATTGTGAAATTTGCATATTTCGTACTTATTGGACTTCTTATGGAAACGTAGTTTTCCCACCATCCACACGATACCATAATAAGAGCTGGCGGAATTAGCCATAAAGAAGTATTTGAACTATCGAGTAAAGGCCATACTACAAATCCCGTTGCTTGGGCAGCCAAAGCTGCTAAATCCACTAGAACGAGAACGCATCTCCTTGACTCGTCTTTGTTCTTATTTCTCGAGAGAAGACCTACACGAGAAAGGAAATTCAATGGTAATGCAAGTCTAATTTATTTCAAAATCTTACATATAGACTTTCACAGTTATTTGAAATCCTCAAACAGTACATTCCTTACTCCCAACTCAATTCCATCTGAATTAGAGTCAGTAAATTTCCACATACTTTAATTGAATCCATTTTACTTCAAATTAAAGAAAAATAAATTTCTTTCAAACTTTAAGAATAGAAATAAATTTGCTAATAAGAATGAACAATTTATTCTTTTTAAAACTTTGAGAAAAGAAATAAATTACTGCTAATAATAATTTTATTAATTATAGTAATATCAATAATAATAATAATAATAATAATAATAATAATAATAATAATAATAATAAAAATGAGAATAATTTTTCTTCTGATAATTTTTTAAAAGATGGAATATATTTTATTTTCTATTTAATTTTCTATTAACAGGGCTCGAAATAGGTCCGTAAATTTGCTTCAAGTCCGTAAAAGTACTTTTTTTTGAAAAATTATTTTCAAAAGCAATAAAATTCTTCGCAGAAATTCAATTATGTTAAAAAATAATAAAAATATTCGTCAAAATTTCAAATATCTTTACAAATAATAAAATTCTTCTTTGAAATTCAATTATTTTACAATATTTTAATCAAATTCTTGACAAAATTTAAATTATTTTCAAAAGTTTTCTCAAATTCAATGATTTTCAATATCTGCTATTTTAATAAAATTTTCAAAAAAAATTCCATTATTAAAAACAAATTTGAATTAAATTCTACGCAAACATTCAATTATTTTCATTAATAATAAAAATTTTTACAGCAATTCAATTATTTACAAATTTTTCTTATAAATTTCTTCGCAATAATTCAATTATTTTCGTAAATAATAACTTTTTTTTAGGAATTCAATTATTTTCATAAATAATAAAGCTCATTGCAGAATTTCAATTATTTTTAACGCAATTTAACAAAATAATTCAATTATTTAAAAGAAATTTTAATATAGTCCTTCTCAAAAATTCAATTATTTTCATATATAAATTTTCACAGGAATTCAATTAAAAATTCAATTCCCAAGAAAATTTTTCGAAAGAAATCATATTTTTCAAAAAGTTTTAATAAAATTTATTCATAAGAATTTAATTCAATTACTTTTAATACAATTTTAATAAAATTTTTCAAAAGAATTCAATTATTTTTTTTACAAATTTAATATAATTTTTCGTAAGAATTCAATTATTTTCTCAAATAATAGAACTATTAGCAGAAATTCAATTATTTTTAATATCTTCTATTTTAATAAAAATTCTTGAAATAATTTAATTATTTAAAAGAGTTTTTATAAAGTTCTCCGTAAAACAAAATTTTATTTTTAATAATTTTTCGATAAAATTTGTTTAAAAGAATTTAATTATTTTCAATACAATTGTAATTAAATTCGACGGAAAAATCAAATTACTTTCAATAATTTTAATAAAATTTTTCGCAAGGATTCAATTATTTGATATAAATAATAAAATTATTCGTAGATTTTGAATTCAATTTTAAACTAATTCCTCAAAAAATGCAATTATTCTAAGAATTTTAGTAAATTTCTTCGCAATAATTCAATTACTTTCGTAAATAATAAAATTCCTTTTAGGAATTCAATTATTTTTATCAATAATAAAACTCATTGCAGAATTTCAATTATTTTTAACGCAATTTTAATCGTATTGCTCGAAAAATGTAATTATTCTTCAAAATTTTATTGAAATTCGTCAAAAGAATTTAATTATATAAAAACTTGTTGATAAAATTTTCATGAGAATTTAATTTTAAGAAACAGCAAATTAATAAATTATTCATTTTTGTATTTAAATAATGGAATTCTCGTAGAATTTTCTAATAAAAATTGATTTAAAAATGAATTTCAGTTAAAATTTCAAATTATAATTGAATATTAAAAGCAATATAACGTGAATTTTTAGAAATAATTGAATTTTGAAATTAATTTTTTTGAAAAAGTTTAATTGAATATTGTAAATAAATGGATTTGAAAATTGCCAAAGAACTTTTTCAAAAATTATTAAAAATAATTGATCTAAAGAAGAATTTTAGTTAAAAATTCTTGAAAAATAATAATTGAATTGATAATGATTTTATCAATTTGCCATTTTCAATTATTATAAAACATAAAGAAATCGATCGCTCCGAGTCGAAGACTCGGAGTTATCGATATCTTCATGTTTTATAGTTATGAAAAATTTAATTTATAGTTTTAAATAAATTGTCCTTTTTTTCCATCGAACTCATTATATTTTTGTCAATAATTGGTCAGTAATTTTTCATTTTTGGTCCGTAAAGTTCGTACTTTTAAATATTTTCACTGCTTCAATTCCTGTATTTATTTTCAATTTTTTTTTCCTTTTTTATTTTCGTTGCGAAATTTTATAAATTGTTTTCAAATTGAATTTGTAACACGATGTTCACTTACAGTAATACGGGTTTTTTTGTCGTATAGAAAAGAAAAAGAGAAACGTACCAAGAAGTCCGGGTACGAAACAAACACAATTTGTCAGCATCGCTCCCTTGACGACGTCCAGCTCGGGGAGAATTGCGAGGAACATGAGAGCCAAACCCACAACGTGAAGGGTCTCCATCAGAAAGATGAGAAAAAAATGGGAAGAAATCGGCTTCTTCCAAGACTTAAATATACACATTCGAATACTACGAACTAAAGTCCCAAATTCGGGGAGAGAAAAAGCTATGATGATGCACCAAATCCACGCTATCCTCTCCTCTTCGGGTAACGTAACTATAAATTGCTTTTCCCGGCCTGAAAATTAATGACAAATCAATTTTATTTTTTTTCAGATTAATAATTTTCTACGTAGTTCCTTATAATCTAAAAAAGATTTTTATTTTGAATTGTTTAAGGATATTATTTTTACAATTTTTCGACTGCTACTATTTTAATAACTTTTTTCAGTCTTAAAACTATTTTTATATTAATAATTTACGATGACGAAGCCTGAATTTCGCTCTTTTAATAATAGAAAAATGATAATATAAAATTGAGAAAAAAATGAGAATGATACTTATAGACAAATAGGAAAACAAAAATATTATTTAACTATTGATAAGGCACTTAAAATTCTTTCAATGAAAATAATTTTCAATTTTATCTATCTTTACATTTTTGTAAGCAATTCAGAATGATAATCCATTCGTTAGGGGTTTCGATTTTAATAATTGCAATCAATTTTATAGAGCGGAATAATTGTGTGTTCTTTTTCTTTATTACATGGAATAATATGTTTCTAAAGTATTGGAAATAATTTGTATGTTATAGAAAATTGTGGGAATTGGAACTAACTTGAGTTTTTCTTCTGTCTTAAGAATCTAAAATGTCTGAAGTTATCTCGCGGTTTCTTTTTTAGGACAAAAATGAAATTGAAGTGTTCATACTTACAAGAGAGAGAGAGAGAGAGAGAGAATGAAAAAAAAAATGAAAGAAAAAATGTTGACTAATCTAAGAATCGATCTATACCACTTATCCGATAATTGCATGAATTTCTTACCTAATTGTACATTGCAATAGACTATTTCCCGACCAGCTTTCAGCTGTGAAGTCATGAAAAGTATGGTTCCCTTGGCGATGACCCCACTGCCTAGAACTATGACGAAGACTAGTAAATAAACAATTACTTTTGTAATTTGAACTGTTACTTCGGCACATCTTTGATTTGCCATCGATCCTGAATCGATTTTTGGAGGTGGATCCCTGAACACGTCCCATCCTTTTGTTTCGACTATTGTCCTTTGACTGGAAATTAGAAAAAGAATTACTTCATCGTTTTCTAAACCGCAAAACATTTAAATGGTTAGAGAAAAGATTCTTCAATTTTCCAAGTTGACGGAAAATTTCTTTTCTAACAATATTTTACACTCGAATAATATTTTTCCGATCGAAACAAAAAATTTTCCCGGAAATTTTTACAAAATTTTAATTAAAAAAATAAAAACAAAGATATTCTAGTCTTTGTTTTCTATTTTTAGGGATAAAAGACTGTCGCCTTTTCAGTTTTTTTCAAATTTTGGCACCTATTTCACACACTCCGTTAATTTTCACCTATTTCACTTATTTTGGAAAATTTTTATAATATCTTCAATCAAAATCAGTTTTTAGAAAATTTTAAATAATTTATATTTCAATACATTAAAATACTAAATTATTGAAACTTTCATCAATTATTATCAATAGTTAAAATTATTTATTTAATAGGAAAAACTGTAATTTTTATTGTAATGTTTTGTTTTAAAAATGTTATAATTTTTGTAACTTTTAAAATTTTTGATTTGAAATACATGTAATTCTTTCCAAGAATTTGATGAAAATATTAAATATTAAATTCTTTCAAAAAATTTAATCAAATTTTATTGAATATAATATTGAATTCTTATAAAAAAATGTTATCAAAATTTTTAAGAAGAATTGAATTTTTGAGAAGAATTTCATGAATTTTTTTTTAAATAATTGAATTGTTTTTAACAATTTTGTTCAATTTTTGAAAATAATTAAATTCTTGAGAAGAATCTAATTAAAATTATTGAAAATAATTGAATTCTTGAATTTCATGACATTTTTTAACATAATTGAATTGTCAAGAATTTTATTTAATTTTTTGAAAATAATTGTATTCTTGAAAAGAATTTATTTATGAAGATAATTGAATTTTTTTTCAAGAATTTATTTATGAAGATAATTGGATTTTTTTTCAAGAATTTATTTATGAAGATAATTGAATTTTGTGCAAGAATTTTATTAAAATTATTGAAAAGAATTTCATGAAATTTTTTAAAAATAATTTAATAGTTTTTAAGAATTTTATTAAAATTTTTGAAAAGAATTGAATTTCTGAGAAAAATTTAATCATTTTTTAAACTAAATTAAACTGTTTTCAAGAATTTTGTTTAATTTTTGAAAATAATTGAATTCTTGAGAAAAATTTAATTATTTTTAAAGATAATTGAATTCTTGACAAAAATTTTATAAAAATTTTTGAAGATAATTAAATTCTTCTGAAAAAAATTACATTAAAATTTTTTTAAATAATTGAATTGTTGACAAGAATTTTATTAAATTTTTGAAAATTATTGAAAATAATTAAATTCTTGAAAAGAATTTGAAGACATTTTTTAAAAATAATTGAATTGTTGAGAAGGATTTAATTATTTTTAAAATTAATTGAATTATTGACAAGAATTTTATTTTAATTTCTAAAAATAATAAAATTTTTTAGAAGGATTTAATTATTTTTAAAGATAATTGAATTATTAACAAGAATTGCATACAAATTTTTGAAAATGATTAAATTTATTTGAAAATTTCAGCGAAGAATTTTATTAAAATTGTCAAAAAAAAAATTGAAAATTATTGAATATAATTGAATTCTTGAAAAGAATTTCATGAAAATTTTTAAAAACAATTGAATAATTGTTGAAAATAAAGAATTTGGAAATAAAAAAATAATAATTTGTCAATTCTATTTATAATGAATATAATTCTAATTTTTTTGCTACATATTTTTAGAAAATAATTCACCTTTTCATCTATTTTGAGAAAAAAATAATACTGTCATCCCTGTATTTTCTTTATTAAATTTTTTTAAAATGTGAATGAAAAAAATTTATTAGGAGAGAAATGTTCTTTTATCAATAATTTTGAAGATGAAAAAAAATGTATTCTTGTAATTGAAATAAATGAAAATTTACCATATTTAATGAGTGGGAAAATTAGAAAAGGACTTGAACTTTAATGCCGATTAATCAGAGTCAAGATAAGAGGCATAATTTCCTTGGAATAGTTTGCATTCCAAAAGAAGTGGTGATAACTCGAGACAATAAATTCAATGGTTTTATAATAAATGGTATGCAAAATTGTTGCGTAAAATAACTTGAACGATACTTTATCAGAAATGCATCTCTCAATCAAGTTTAAAATCTAAAACTGTTGTTGTTGTTAGAACCTTTCTTTTTTTGATTTGAAGGATACAAAATGACTCAACTATCACATTATATGTGTGTCTGTCATGTTAACTGTGGGAATTTTCACTTGAGTGATCAATTGCTGACAACATTTTTATCTAATTACTTTAAACCTCAAGACAGAATCCAAGTTTATTGCTAATTTAAACTGTCTTTACTGATTATTATATGCTTCACTCTTATTTTACGAAACAATCCTTATATCTTCATCTAAGTTTCTGAAGTCTGCTCTAAATGATGAAAGTTGAATTATTAGTTGAATTGACAATGTAGGTACGCTCGTTTAGTTTAATTAAAAAGAATTATTTTCTTATTTTCTGACATGTGAGATGAATACATTGATATAGGAAACGAATATGTATAAAAGTTTATTTTTTTTAATTAGTTATTTCTGTTAATTGATAACTTATTTTGATTTTGCTTCTCAATTTATTTTTTCAAAAGGATTTTTATTTTGCTTCCTCTTTTAGTTTGTATTTTTAATTGAAGTGGATTTTTCGCTGAAAGATTAATTTTATTTTTATTTTAATTTCAGTTGTACCTTCCGGCGTAATCTTGAGTCAAGGGTGTGCTGTCGTCATCGGAAAAGTCATCGACCCCTGTGCCTCCTCCTCCGGGTACCACTCCATTTTGTTGCTGAATTTTGGCCATTTTGGTAAATCAATATCTGAAATAGAAAATTTTTGTTAAATTCCTCTTTTCTCTTTCTATTTTGAATTACATTTTTAATTTAAAAATTTTATTAAATTGGGGCAAACTTTTTTTTCACAGAAAGAAACATAAATTAAAATCGGTAAAGAGATTCGAAAATTAGGCCTTGGATAATACTTTTCAATTTTTTTTTTAGTAAAAAATGAAAGAAACTTTCGAAAAACTATTTCTATATTTTGAGAAGTTTTTCTTTTTTAAAATAAATATTTTTTAGGGAAAAATTTGCATTTTTTCTGATAAATTGAGCCGTCGGAAAGTATATAACATTTTAAAATTAAATTGTCAATTTAGATAAGAAGTTAAATTTATAAATTTATAATGCACCTAATTATTTATGTTGAATAGAAATATTTATCTAAAGATAAGAAAACTAAAAAAAATTAAAGATATGAAAAGTCGCTTTTCCTCTTTTCGTATTTGAAAGCATATTCTATTTTCAATGCGTCATTTCAATGAGAAATTATTTTAATTTGCAGTATTCAAGTTATTACAGAAATTTTTTTCCTTTATTTAATTTCCTGACTATTTGCGAAACGGTAGTTTCTCTAAATGTTTGACTACTAAAAACACTATTTGTCTCGTTGAAATTATATTTATTGTTCGCAAATAAATACGCAACGAGAGTATTAAAAAAAAAAATGAGAATTTAAAAAAGAAACAATACATAACAATGTAAATGAAACCGAGTTTTGTAATTTAATAATAATTGTAATTTTTATTTTCAGAGAGACGAAAGGGAACCTTGAAACACCAAAGAAGTTGCAGAATATATAATATTACTTGGTCTTTTCAATTGAGAATGGGACATCGATGAAAATAATAAAGGGAGATAAGGCGTGAATATGAAAATCAAATTCTTCATGACTCCTTATAAGGTTAGTGAGATTTTTATAATTTCCACTTTCGTTGAATGAGCTTGCATGAGAAAAACGTGAAATTATATGATAAATAAATCCAGTGGGAGTAATGAAGAGTAATCACAGTAATGAGGGATGTTGAATGATTTCATATCCACAGAAGTGTAAAAATGAATAACTATGAAAAGCATTGCAGATAACTGTTACGCTATTTTCATTTGCGCAACTTTCCACAGTTTTAAATCACATTGTACTAACAATGAGTCTTGCATATTATTCGATTCCAAGATTTCTTCTCTCAAATAATCGAAAGCAATATTTCATTTATTTATTATTTTCATACATTTTAAACGGGGAGGAATTTTGTTTAAATTCCGTTTATTTTCGGGATTTTAAAAGAATTTAAATTTAGAATTTAAATTTAAAAGATTCAAATTTAGAACGTTATGAATTTATTTTCGAATTTTTAATTGATGACGCAAAAGTTTTTCGAGTGATTAAATAGCCCAGGCTTCGCACTCATTTATTAAAACATACTATTTACATACTATTATTATTTATTTACATACTATTTTTATTTTTTCTACGATCAACTACTATTTGGACACTAATTTTAGATTTGTGATTATTAAAATTCTTCGACAGAATTTAATTATTTTCAAAAATTTCCAATTATTTTTATAAATTTCCATGAAATTCTTTTCAAAGAATTCAATTATATTCAATAATTTTAATCAAATTCTTGTCAGCAATTCAATTATCTTCATAAATAATTAAATTCTTCTCAAGAATTCAATTTTTTTTGACAATTTTAATAAAATTCTTGCTAACAATTCAATTATTTTAAAAAATAACTAAAATTTCATCAAGATTTCAATTATTTTTAAAGATTAAATTAAATTCGTGTCAAGAATTCAATCATTTTTAAAAAATGTCATGAAATTTTTTCGAAAATTAAATTATTTTTTAAATCTTTTATAAAATTCTACAAAGAAATTTAATTATTTTCAAAAATTTGTATAAAATTCTTGTCGAAAATTTAATTATCTTTAAAAATAATTAAATCCATTTAGAAAATTTAATTATTTTCAAAAATATCTTAAAAATCTTCATGATATTTTTTCGAAAATTCAATTATTTTCAATACTTTTAATTAAAATTCTTTCGAACAATTCAATTATTTTTAAAAATTAATTCAATCCTCCACAAAAATTCAATTATTTTCATAAATAAATTTTCACAGGAATTCAATTGAAAATTCAATTCCCAAGAAAATTTTTCGAAAGAATTCAATTATTTTTTACAAATTTAATATAATTTTTCGTGAGAATTCAATTATTTTCACAAATAATAGAACTATTTGCAGGAATTCAATTACTTTAAATATCTTCTATTTTAGTAAAAATTCTGGAAATAATTTAATTATTTAAAAGAGTTTTTGTAAAGTTCTCCGAAAAACAATAATTTATTTTTAATAATTTTGATAAAATATGTTTAGAAGAATTTAATTATTTTCAATACAATTGTATTTAAATTCCACGAAAGAATCAAATTATTTTCAATAATTTTAATAAAATTTTTCGCAAGGATTCAATTATTATTTTATATAAATAATAAAATTATTCGTAGATTTTCAATTATTTTCATTCAATTTTAAACTAATTCCTCAACAAATGCAATTATTCTAACAATTTTAGTAAATTTTTTCGAAAGAATTCAATTATTTTCATAAATTATAATACATTTTTCTAAAGAATTCAATTTTAAGAAATAATTAATTCTTTATTTTGTATTAAAATTAATTGAATTCTCGTAGAACTTTCTAATAAGAATTGATTTTTAAAAATGAATTTCAATTAAAGTTTTAGATAATAATTGAATATTAGAAGCGATATGGTATAAATTTTTATAAATAATTAAATTTCAAAAGATCCTTAAAAATTATTAAAATTTTGTATAATTTGAATTAAAAATTCCCCAAAAAATGATTGAATTTTGGAATTACGGTCGTAATTTTTAGAAATACATAATTAAATTTCAAAAAGATTTTTAATTGAAATTACTTAAAATTTTAAAATAATTTTTGAAGAATTCTAATTAAAAATATGGAAAATAATTAAATTTTAAAATAATTTTTGAAGAATTCTAATTAAAAATATGGAAAATAATTAAATTTTAAAAAAATTTAGAACTGAACTTATTACCGCAGGATAAGAAGAAAATTGAATATTTTTTATGGAAATCAGGAGAAAGTCAGAAAAATACTAAATCAAATTTTTTGAATCCACTAAAACGAGTTTTTTTAGTAGTAAAATTTAATTTTTCGATACCAACTTTTTTATTACTTCTTTTTAGTCTTAAACCTACTTTTTATTTTAGAATTAATTATCGAGTGTGAAGCCTGATAGCCCCATTCTGATTTTATATTATACAAGAAAAAAGAATGAAAGAAATATAAATGAGGCAATTATTCATTGGTAATTGCGATTTACTTTTTCTTTATCATCTAAATAATCGTTTATATTTTCTATAGTTAAATCATTCTGAACTTGAAAAGTGTCGAGTGGAGATTTAAAAAACATAATATGTATCCTGAAGCAAAGTAGAATTGCGTGTACAAGTACAAACGCGAATCAGAAGTTTAATCGGACAATAAAATCTCGATGCCAGATTGTTGTTCGGGTGGAAGAAATAAGAGATAAAAAAAGAGAGAGAAAGGTGGCACAAACTCAGCGCAAACAATCATAGGCGCCAACCTTAACTTTTTTTTTTATATTTTATCTTCTTCCTTTCGTATGTATCGACACCTTCATCAGCAATTGATCTCTCCAAGAAGCAATTTATCCTTTCCACACGTTCTTTTTTTTTACTTTAAACTCTAAGAATTACTTTCTAAAAAGAGTATTTTTTGATTTTTATTTTTTACATTAAAGTATTTTGTAGTTTGCATTTGATTTTAAATTTCTGTATTAAATTTCGTTTTATTTTTTAAAATTTTTAATTTAAAAAATAGGAATATTTTCAATTTTTATTATTTAAATTAAACAATTTCAATTATTGTTAAAAACTTCGATAAAATTTTGAAAAGAATTTAATTATTTTCAAAAATTTGTATGAATATCCTTGTCAATAATTCAATTATCTTAAATAATAATTGAATTTTTCTCAAGAATTCAATTATTTTTAAAACATATAATAAAACTCTTGTTAATAATTAAATTATTTTTAAAAATTTTAATGTAATTTTTTTCAGAAGAATTTAATTATCTTCAAAAAATTTTATAAAATTTTGGCAAGAATTCAATTATTTTAAAAAATAATTTAAATTCCTTTCAAGAATTCAATTAATTTCAAAAATTAAACAAAATTCTTAAAAACAATTGAATTATCTTAAAAAATAATTAAATTCTTCTCAGGAATTCAATTCTTTTCAAAAATTTTAATAAAATTCTTGTCAATATTTCAATTATCTTTATTAATAATTAAATTCTTCTCAAGAATTTAATTATTTTCAATATAATTTAAATAAAATTCTTGTCAAGAATTTAATATTTTTTTAAGTAACAAAATTTTGCGCAGAAAGTCAAATAGTTTCAAAAATTTTAATAAAATTTTTGACAACAATTCAATTATCTTCATAAACAATTAAATTCTTCTCAATAATTATTCTATTATTTTCATAAATAATAATATCGATTATTATTATAATTACTATTATTATTGCTAATATTGGTATTATTTTTATATATTTTTTTTTTTACTGAAAATAAGAAATTAATAAACTAATAAACTTTATTGGCAAAATGAATAAAGATCCTGAAAAGTTCATATACATTTCTCCAATGACTCACGATCGCAAGTTTCTCAGTTATTGATTCTATATACAGATTGCTACATAACGAGAGATGTAAAATGTCATCACACTGTATAAAAAGCAATTAAAATCATTCAAGAAAAATATTTTTTACAAAAAAAATTTTCCGTTTCAGTAACTTCTTTTTTTTTTCTTTTTTTTGCACAATGAGAGAATTATTTATCGTTCATAAACTTCAACTGCGCTGTCTAAGCCCTTTTCAGCATCTCTTATAAAATGTCCTTGCGCCTGCTATAAACTTTACCCCCAAAAATAAAAATTATACTTCAAAAGTCGTAAAATACGTATACATATATGTATACATAAATGAAAAAAAAAAAAAAAAAAAAAGAAAAATTGTCTGGTGGGAAAGGAACGATCATTAAAAGCTGATTCCTTAAAACCAGTTTTAGGTTTCCCTGCAACGAAGGTCTTATCTTTTCCTGAATTCTAATTAAATATTTATAGGACTGTAGAGTTCAACTGCAGAATCAAGTATATATCTGATATTGGATATATTTCCTAGCGGCATTTAAATTTTGTTTTTAATATTCAGAAAAAATGAGAGGAAAACAAATTTTTTCGCAATTGATAAATATTCTGCTGTGTGTATGTATGTATAGAACTATATATGTATACATACGCCGAGTGTTAGACGTAAATTGCTTACAAAATTAGTTGACCAGGTTCTGGCGTCGAGTTACACTACTTTCTCGCGATCGACAATGACGTATTGAAGTTATTTCACATGTCCATAACAGTAACGAGGCAACATTTATACGCAAACCTAACGAAGTACACCCTAAAGCTGACATTCGTTATTCTTAAACGACACTTTTATATTTTCCCTTCAATAAAATTCACTTTCGAACGCTCAACAATATTTATATCAATTATTTATTGTCCATTCTCCCAATTTAATGGGGAGTGGATTTATTTTTCAATTCATTTATTTTTTTTTCTTCTTTTGAGAAATCGTTTTCAAAACGTAGAAATTAGTATTTTCCAAAAATTTTGTACCTTTTTATTTAAATTTTTACCTTCTGAAATTTAATTATTTCTATGAAAATTGCTACTGTAACTTTTCAAGATTTAATTATTTTTTAGGATTTTCATTTTCAGGCCCGAAAAAAGGGCCTGAAAAACATTCTTTTAAAGAATTTCA